CCCTCCTGCAGCAAAGCACCCCCACAGCATAAACTCCCGAGTGGCGCAGTGGTCTAAGGCACTGCATCGCAGTGCTAGCTGTGCCACTAAAGATCCTGGTTCGAATCCAGGCTCTGCTGTAGCCGGCCGCAACCGGGAGACCAATGGGGCGGCGCACAATTGGCCCAGCGTCGTCCAGGGTAGGGGAGGGAATGGCCGGCAGGGAGGTAGCTCAGTTGGTAGAGCATGGCGTTTGCAACGCCAGGGTTGTGGGTTCGATTCCCACGGGGGGTCAGTATGAAAAAAACAAAAACATGAATAATGTATGCACTAACTGTAAGTCGCTCTGGATAAGAGCGTCTACTAAATTACGTAAAATGTAAAATGTAATGATGCTGCCACCCCCGTGCTTCACAGTTGGGATGGTGTTCTTCGGCTTGCAAGCACCCGCCTTTTTCCTCCAAACATAACGATGGTCATTAATGCCAAACAGTTCTATTTTTGTTTCATCAGACCAGAGGACATTTCTCCAAAAGGTACAATCTTTATCCCCATGTGCAGTAGCAAACCGTAGTCTGGCTTTTTATGGCGGTTTTGGAACAGTGGCTTCTTCCTTGCTAAGCGGCCTTTCAGGTTATGTCGATATAGGACTCGTTTTACTGTGGATATTACATACTTTTGTACCCGTTTTCTCCAGCATCTTCACAAGGTCCTTTGCTGTTGTTCTGGGATTGATTTGCACTTCTCACACCAAAGTACGTTAATCTCTAGGAAACAGAACGCGTCTCCTTCCTGAGCGGTATGACAGCTGCGTGGTCCCATGGTGTTTATACTTGCGTACTATTGTTTGTACAGATGAACGTGGTACCTTCAGGCGTTTGGAAATTGCTCCCAAGGATGAACCAGACTTGTGGAGGGCAAAAAACAAATTTCTGAGGTCTTAGCTGATTTCTTTTGATTTTCACATGATGTCAAGCAAAGAGGCACTGAGTTTGAAGGTAGGCCTTGAAATACATCCACAGGTACACCTCCAATTGACTCAAATTATGTCAATTAGCCTATCTGAAGCTTCTAAAGCCATGACATCATTTTCTGGAATTTTCCAAGCTGTTTAAAGGCACAGTCAACTTAGTGTATGTAAACTTCTGACCCACTGGAATTGTGATACAGTGAATTATAAGTGAAATAATCTGTCTGTAAACAATTGTTGGAAAAATGACTTGTGTCATGCACAAAGTAGATGTCCTAACCGACTTGCCAAAACTATAGTTTGTTAATAAGAAATTTGTGGAGTGGTTGAAAAACAAGTTTGAATGACTCCAACCTAAGTGTATGTAAACTTCCGACTTCAACTGTATATATATATATATATATATATATATATATATATATATATACACATACACATATACACACACATCCATACACACACACACATATCCTTTTTTAGATTATATTTCCCTTCATTACTTTCCAACCCCACCACCCCTTCCCCAATTGGAGTAAACTTGTGAACAACAATGCTTAAGCCTCTACTTCCAGCCCATACATACTACATACATTTTATGGACACAGTCAAATTCTACAATAATTATATTTTGTTTGTTTTTACTCCTGAACTTCCTCCGATCATTTTCATGATGTTCATCTGGTTTGCAAAAGCTCTCAACCTATAACCATATACTTATTATGGACACATTATGCTTTACATTAGTTATCTTGTTGTTATTAGTTCTTGTTGTTATTATTAACATATTTGTTTCTTGTCAACAAGTTAATAGGCTATTTATTGTATTTCAAAAGTGATATTGAATTGTGTTTGGTTGTCAACATAACCAAATATCAACTTTTGAAGGAGACGTATCTTCTGCTTGGATAGTTCCATCTGTGCCACTGATTTAGTCTGGCTTTAGTTCCAGTTTGTCTACAAATTAATCATTGATATGTTCGATTCACATCTCAACCCAAAATCTAAGTTATAGAATAGGACTAAATTAAATCAAATCAAACTTTAAGTGCACTTTAAATAAAGTTTGATTTGGTCCTTCTCTTTAACTTAGAATTTTGGTTGAGATGTAGAATCCAACATATGAATTATTAATTTGTAGACAAACTGGAATTAAAGCCAGACTAAATCAGTGGCACAGAAGGAACTATCCAAGCAGAAGATACGTCTCCTTCAAAAGTTGATATTTGGTTGCGTTGACAACCAAACACAATTCAATATCACTTTTGAAATATAAAAATACAATTAGAATTGTTAGATACTACTGCACTGTTGGAGCTAGGAACACAAGCATTTCGCTACACCCTCAATAACATCTGCTAAATATGTGTGTGACCAATAACATTTTATTTTATTTGATAAATACCCTATTAACTTGTCGACAAGTTAACAAATTATATGTTGGATTCACGTCTCCACCTCAACCAAAAATAAAAGTTAAAGAATGGGACTAAGCCATTAAGTCACTAAATAACATTACATTTTAAATCAACCAGAGCTTGAAATCCTAGGTGTATTGTATTGTCTATTTTTAGTTGAATTCTGGGTTGAATTTAAACAACAGCTGTTGATGACTTTGCAAATGCGATATAGCCCTAAATGGTATCATTGATGATACAGTATATGAGTGATAAAGTATGGTCACAATTCATTTGCTCTGTTAAACCTACCTTTTGGAATTACTTTGATGGCAACAGTGAATCGATTACATTTTTAAGTGGAGATCTCTGTCTCAACAATCATTCTCACGATATCACATTGGTAATAGTCAGTGACAACGATCATAGCTAAGCAGGGCTTGGTTAATACTCTGGATGGGAGATCAGAGTAGCTGTAGATAGATCAACTCTCCAGTAGGAGGTGCTGCCCAGCCTATTTTATTTATTCTGATAGTGGATATAACATTGAAGATCTGATGTTTTTGAAATTGAAATGTGGTTACCATGATGCCATCCATCATCGTGTGGTTGAAATTTCACCCTCAAAATTAACAGTTTACATTGAATACTTTTTTTCAAATCCAATGTATTTTCCACGTAGATTCCACACCACAATACATTTGACAAATTACGTTGAAACAATGTTGATTCAACCAGTTTGTGCCCAGTGGGATACTTGTACTTGAACAGGGCCTTGAGTGAATGAGGACACATTTTATGAGCATCTCAAGCAATGAGATGATGCATTTTGTTATAACATTTTGCAATATGATAATATTCCACTTCACTGTGTTATCTTCCAATGATGAATCTTTGATCAGGTGACTAAATAATGTTTTTTTCCACAGACCCATTTACATTTCCTGGAAGGCGACACTGTATTCATACATTATTCAAACATAGGAACCAGCATAGAAGCAGAGATCAAACCTAACTCATACCTCAGGCTCATAATGACGGATGTTCACTGTGACAATATGGCACACACGCTCGCTTGCATGCACACACACACAGACACACAGTTGGGGGAATGAACCCAATCAAAAACTGTAAAAAAATGTAAGAACATCAACATTGATGATATGGAGGATTGCCTATTTATTCATCCATAATAATGACATACAATATGTTTGACTGCGGCTCTATGTACTATTCAAAAGCATCCCTTATCCTTGAATAACAGGAGAATCTCCAGACTCATCATAATGTACTGAGTTTGCGACCACACATATCCAGTGAATTACTGTATCTCTGCCAGAATGACAATAAAACTGCTAACACAGACGAATCCTGTGGTAACTGTCGTTTTGTGCAGGGTTGGCAGTGACGGTGGGGGGTTGTAGTTTCCTCCCGCCCATGGTGACAGGGCCCCTCACTAGCGTTTGTCACCATTTTTTTTTTTTTTAAAGACCATCTCGTCGTGACAGTCACAGCCATTAGAAGATAATTAGGTTGAAATCTCCCTTCGCTCGTCGTAAAAGTCCAATCAGTAGTGACGTTGATTCACTGTGAGGCGGCCAGCTGCCCAGGCCTGATCGTCTAGCCAATCTAGCCCCGGCCCTAATAACATTAATTGGACCTCTTTAATATTTATGGATCATCTTTAAGATAAGGAGATATGTCTTTCTCTCCTGCTGAGCCCTTATTTCAAAGGATGGCTGTTCAGTGCTAGGTGATAACCGCCTGCCATTGTGCCTGAGAGAAACCTCAGGAATAATCTTGTCACATTTTGGCAGCTTATCTGCTAGGCTGCAGACAAGAGAGCACAGCATGTGTACAATTACAGACTTGGACCTCCTTCATTGAAGACAATGTGAAATAGCAAAGAGGTAATTTTCTTTCTCGAGAAAGTCAGCAAATGTTAGTATAACGTCAGGGTTAAGGAGTAGTCTCGCTCTGGCCTCCCTCCTACTTGGGCCTCCTATCCTTTTCCAATCTCTTTTTTCTCTCTGTTCAAAGCTTCATTAAACTTTGAAGCTGCATATTTCCCTTCCCGGCCCCCATTGCCAAAGAGCAGTGATGCATGGGTCTAAATGGTCAGGGGAGGAACCAGATAAGGTGTACTTGCAGTTTGCTTCTCCCAAAAAAACCTAGCAGTTGAAAGTGATATTCAAACCAGGGCTTGTATCGGACCGGTACACAGTCTTGTATTGATTGTAATCAGTCGTTGTTAGGGTATTGATGAGTATCATGTTACAGTCTCCCACATGAGACAGGGAGTCCATGTCACATGTTTTTGTTTGAGGATTTTAGGATAGGCCGTCATATCAGGTAGGAGGAGATGTAAAATGGAGGTGTCTCTATAACAGCACACCAGAGTATCCACTATGAGGGTATCCTAAAATACAACTCAGCTCCCTCCTCTCTTCTGACCTCTATCCACAGATCTCACCAGCCAAATGCACTGAGGAGGACTTGGAGCAGGATTGAGTGAGGAGGAACTCTCTCTGTTCTGTACTCAGGATTATTGGGTGTGCTTTAGGGCAGAGCCGACTCAGCCAATCAAACCTGAGAAAGTTCCCCTGACAGCATGCTGTCCTAAAGGGGGTTGCTGTTAGATCTGCTTGCACCTACAGTATTCCTCTGATCCACTGGGCCCTCCAGCCGCTCCCTGGTCTCTGATGGAGGGCAGCCCAGAGAAGCAGAAGCCCAGCCCGCGACACCGGCCCAAACCCAGGGGCCCCTCCACACTGACTCTGGGCCAGACCCGCAGCACAGAGGACCTGTCTGAGGGCCTCCCCGGGGCCAACTTCAGGAAGGGCTTCTCCCTGCGTAACGTCAGCCTGTGTATGGTGGACGGGGTCCGGGACATGCTCCAGAGGACCCGGGGAGCCTCCCCAGAACCCCGCTGCTTGCTCAACGGGGATACGGGGGGGTGTTGGAGTCCCCGCCTGCTGCGTATGCCCCGGGGATCCCGCTCTGCCACCCTGAGGCCCCTGCCAGCTGAGGTGCAGAGGGAAGGAGTCCTGCGCTACATGGTGGCGGACGACTCGCACAGCATGGGCAGCAGCGCCCAGTGGCAGAAGTGTCGTCTGCTGCTGAGGAGGACGAGAGGAGGAGGAGGAGGGGTCGCTGAAGGGGAGGGGGGCTTCCTGCTGGAGTTCTATGTGCCGCCCAAGGTAGGTCCCCTGGTCTGCGCAGAAGTTGTCTTGAGCTTTGAGTGGTTATCTCAAACTGTGAGAAAGGCACAAAGCAGAACCAATCAGTAAAAAAGCACATCCCCTTCATTATCAACGCATCGTTCCGACAACATCAACATAGCCTTTCCAGACTCTGAAGTCAGGAGGACTTTGAGTTAGGTGTCAGCCAGACTAGTGAGCTATATGAATTTGGGTCAAACTACCAGTGAAAAATAGATTTCTAACAGTGCTGCAGTGCTAACTGTAACTTGTCTCTTCTCTCTGACCCAGTCGTCGAAGCCCAAATTGAGTGTTCCTCTGACAGCTGTCATGGAGGTGCGGACCACCATGCCCCTGGAGATGCCAGACAGGGACAACACCTTTGTCCTCAAGGTCAGCTTTACTTGTAATGTCAGGACATTTTTATCACAAGTGTATGTAGGCGTTATGACATGCCATTCAGGGTTACCAAATGCGCTGTATGATGCAGATTTGCATAATGAACCAAACAGTGTATGACAGGCTGAGTACAGTGTCTATGTAGTTAATTGAGTCCCTCACTCTATATACACTTGTCAAACAAGTCTTTTGTAGTAGTCAATGTCAATGCTTTGTGCACAGTGAGTGATAAATATATAGAGATGCAATTGACAGAGAGACATAAATAGTTGGGTGATTTAAACCACAGACCATATTGTTCAGCTAAGCTCTTGTCAGTAGGCCAAAACAGGCTGCTAATATGGTACCTTATACATCAAGATATGTTCCGCTACATTCACTCAATTATAGGTTGGCCTATACACAGTATATATTTAAATGATCTTATATTCTTCAGTGACCTTCAGCCCTGTAAGAACTATGTTTGATAGATACATTTGTGCTGTATAATAGAACTTAACCATCTATATTATTTGGTTTCTTTATACACCTATCCAATACACTCATGTCTACACAAGTGTCTAGTTGATTTGGAATGTGCTAATATTGTGCCTAATCCAATGCTTGTGTTGCAGGTGGAGAATGGAGGTGAATACATCCTGGAGACATTAGACTCCCTTCAGAAACACTCCTGGGTGGCTGACATTCAGGACTGCATAGACCCGGGGTAAAGAAAAATAACAGTACACTCACTTCCCTGTGATCTAGGGGTACATCTTAATGAAGTCTAATGTGCAAGTAGATTCCTTCCCTTCTCTCTGTTCCTGCACTGACGTGAAGGAGAAGTGAAAGCAAAATCCCAGTGGGCAACCACCATATTGCCTTCATCTACCCTGTCTTTTCAGATTGACAGAAGAAGAAAAAGGACTTCAGTTCAGACTATTGAGGTGTACCCCCATATAGATGATTTTAAGCAGTAACAATCAAACCAGTTCCTTCTCATCCCCCGTTTTAATTAATGTGTTTGTCTTCTCTGTGCAGGGACAGTGGAGATGACATTGAGCTGACGTCTTGTCCTCATGGCCAGTTCCCCTCGGTGTCCACCTGTAACTGTGAGCTCACGTCTAGTGAGTATTTATTTACTTTAATTGGTAATGATATCTCAGCATCTGACTCTATGGGGTAACTTTCTCTCCATGCTCTCTCTATGTCCACCCAGACATACACAAGACCCCTCAGCACCGTGCTGGTCCCTGTGGCCCCTCAGGACCTCGCTGTCGGACCCTGCTGGCCTCCCCTTCGCACCCCACCCATGTCCCGCTAGAACGCTTCCTCCAGTCACTGGAGTCCAACAGGCCTGGAGCAGGTAATGGCCAGCTCTGTATGTGGAAGGACTGCTTTTTGCAAAGCCAATATAGTGACAAAAGGTTCTTATATTGTGCTTCTCACCCATAGGTGAAGGTACACCCCGCTCTGAGACGGACACCTCTCTGACCTGCTACCCATGGTTCCACGGTACACTGTCTCGAGTGAGTGCTGCTCAGCTGGTGTTGGTGGGCGGAGCCCGGAGCCATGGGCTCTTTGTGATTCGCCAGAGCGAGACACGCCCGGGAGAATACGTCCTCACCTTCAACTTCCAGGGCAAAGCCAAGGTAACGCCATCCGTTTTGTCACCAAAGCCCCATATATTACCCACCGTTGTGACCTGTACGCTCTCGTTGGCTGGCCCTCACTACATATTCATCGTCAAACCCACTGGCTCCAGGTCATCTATAAATCACTTCTAGGCAAATCCCCGCCTTATCTTAGCTCATTGGTCACCGTAGCAACACCCACCCGTAGTATGCGTTCCAGCAGGTATATCTCACTGGTCATCCCCAAAGCCAACACCTCCTTTGGCCGCCATTCCTTCCAGTTCTCTGCTGCAAATGACTGGAACGAACTGCAAAAATCTCTGAAGCTGGAGACTCTTATCTCCCTCACTAACTTTAAGCATCAGTTGTCAGAGCAGCTTACCGATCACTGCACCTGTACACAGCCCATCTGTAATTAGCCCACCCAACTACCTCATCCCCATATTGTTATTTACATTGTTATGTATTTTGCTCATTTGCACCCCAGTATCTCTATTTGCACATCATCTTCTGCACATCTATCACTCCAGTGTTAATACTAAATTGTAATTATTTTGCACTATGGCCTATTTATTGCCTTACCTCCATAACTTACTACATTTGCACACACTGTATATAGATTTTCTATTGTGTTATTGACTCTACGTTTGGTTTACCCCATATGTAACTCTGTGTTGTTGTTTTTATCGCACTGCTTTGCTTTATCTTGGCCAGGTCGCAGTTGTAAATGAGAACTTGTTCTCAACTGGCTTACCTGGTTAAATAAAGGTGAAATAAATAAAAAGTACACTCAGACGCAACCTGGTTCCAAACTAGTCTCTTTATCTGGCCGGCTGCCCATTCATTCAGGGTTCCCCTTTGTGTCACAAGGGCAAAATCTGTCAGTCCTCCAGATATGTTCTAACAATGGTAGAGGGTTTCCTGTCTGTATTTGTCATAGCCCTGCACATGTAAACCACATGCTTCCTCTGCTGAGTATTGGCCATATGGCCTTGATTCATTAAAACAATTATTCACCCAAAGATTCCCTTGTATTCCCCTGCTAGTTCACCCAAATGTACCTCATCTTATGGACAAATGAAAGTAGTCTAGCAACAACCCAAGATGTGTGTGTTTACTAAGCTACAGCTTAGCATTAGCATTGTTGAATGCAAATAATGGTAGAAAGACCTAACAGCATGCCTCTACCTCCCTGTGAGCAGCACCTGCGTCTGTCTGTGGACTCTCAGGGCCAGTGCCATGTGCACCACCTGTGGTTCCAGAGTGTGGGGGACATGCTGCAGCACTTTCACTGCCACCCCATCCCATTGGAGTCCCGCGGGGCTGCAGATGTCACGCTGCGATGCTACGTCCAGACACAGCGCAGCCGGCCAGGTAACACGTGGGCTAATGCTGTCTTACTGTTTGAGATATTTTTATGTCAAATGTAGGCTATTATTATGATTATAATAATGTACAACATGTCTAGTGCCCAAAAACAATCCCTGCATTCCGTGATTCTTGACCCATATCTAACCTCTCATCTTAAATTTGTTCAGTCAAGCATTTACATTATCGAAGCTACAAAAAGGGTTACCTAGCGGAACAGTGGTTTTCAAAGAAAAAATAGTTTCAAGCCAACAATGGACTCTTTTAGGAAAGATGCACTGGACTAGGCAAGCATAAGGAATTGAGGATCCCTCTTCCAGGCTGATGTCTTTTTGATGTTTCGCCACAAGGGAAGGGAGAGGCGAAAGAGACAGAGGGCACTTTTAGTTGGCCTAATCTCCTTTTCTCTGGTCCTCCCTCTGTAGGATTACCTTCTTTACTCTGTGCTGCTCTCTCTTCCCTCCCATGCTCCAATGGTGCCCACTCGTCTCCCTCCATTGTGTGTAACCCCTCTTAGTACCAGCCTTTCTGAATTAATTTGGTCTCTCCTATTTTGATTTCTACTGAAATCCTTCCCTATGGATCACTAAAACCAGTCCTCTTATTTTGTTTTTATCTTAAGATGTTCTTTTGTACTATTACCCCCTGAATATAGAATATAGAACATCATATTATTGTAACTGCAATTTCTGACTTGATGCTGCTGTGCTCCAAGCTAGATCTATGGTAGCCTGATCCACCATCCTGACCGCTGCGTTTTGGCTTAGTTTCACAACAGAATGTAAGCTTGCAAGATCATGATGGTCGAACAAGGTTAGATCTATGGTGCATTTGTCTGTGTGTTTCAAACATGTCTTGTGTGTCCGTTGGGTTCCTCTTTGCAGAGCTCCGTGTGTCTCGGTTGTCCACCCCTACCAGAGAGCCTAGCTGTCGGAACGGCCTCCACCAATCGGCACAATTCTTTCCCGGAGTCTTGCAGCCAGTTGGCGGATCTGTGGACTCTCCTCTCCCCCCCAGTTCCCCTGCTCTGCCCCGCATCCTGCCTCCCTTCCCCAGACTAGAAGATGGGGGTAGTGGTGGCTTACGGAGTCGCAGTGGCAGCATAGAGCATCTTCTACCGCCCTCTGGTGGCTCATCCGATGAACAGCAGGAGACTGAGGGAGCACAAAGAACACGAGCAGTAGAGAACCAGTACTCTCTCTACTGAGGAACCTTGACGTCATCTATGACTCTGACAGCATCAGGATCACATATCTGTTTTGTCAAAGGGATTTTGCAGGTGGTGGAACAGGTTTGGAGAGCCTTTACGCACTAAAGATATTGATGAATAAAAAAATACAGTGGTTTGATTCATCCTGAAAGTTGTCAAATTCAAGTTCAGTCCATGAAATATTGGAAGGTGGAAAAAAGTGTACAATAGGGGTTGAACAATAGACCTATATATCTACCCTAATCCTCACTAATAATGGAACTGTATGACAATGGTCCAGTTGTAATGAGCTATGCGCCAGGCTCCAGGTTTAACCTGCTACGTGTGGTCCGAGTTCCATAATGATTCAAATAGGCTAAATGCCCCAAATTATTGCACAACCTTAGCCTAATATGATCCACTAATGCTAGCGACCCTCAGGAACAACTACACGGACGTGACAGAGGAAAGAAAGGTAAAGGGAATGGAATGATACAAAATGTAAGCTACAAATTGAAGAAAAACGAACACTAAAGTGACACTTATAAATGTATCTGGGTATTACTGACAGTGGCTCCTGATAGTGGCTAATATTTAACATGATACAAATTGTAAAATAAAACTGAGAAAAGCCCGGGCGTAAGCTGTAATTAAAACATTTTAAAGCACATACATCAACTCGGCAGGTACAGCCCTACAGAAGCTTGGGTCTCCAAAATGAGGGCACAATAAAAATTCTGAATAACGGCACAGCTATTTATAGCCTATTTCACTGTGGAAAAGAGACCGCAATACAAGTCATGTTGATGTGATTTTCAGTTTGCTTCCATATGGCTGGTTTCACATAAGTCTCCAGGGACCATAAGGAAAAATTATCTAAAACAATTGCTGTGTATTTACAATTCCCTTCTCCAAACATATTACTCATTTACCTAGCTCTTATCAATAGTGGTCCATTTATACATTACAGTGAATGGAGAATGCTGTTATTTCTAATTGCTCGACCTTATTCATAGTTTCCTCACACATAAAGGGGGTGGAATTATAAGGGGAATTATGTCAAGGTCAGAATACAGTTTCTGTAGACACACCTCCGCCACACCTACATTTCTTAGACCTCCACCCCGAATGAATAGCGGGTGAATAGCATACTATTCTCATGCTTAAGTTCAAGGTAAGAATACGCATAGAGATAAAAGTGCATAAAAAGGAAATAACTGTCATTTATGCGCGTTTAAATCAGGGCCCATGTGAGTAGGAATGGATGGGGACGTGCAGTGAACTTGAGAGAACGACTTGGGGTAGTTGTCAATGTCATGGAATTTCAGAGCTAAGACATGACAAGGAAGGAGAGGATGATACACCCCAGTGGATGGAACTGTTATATTCAACCTCATCCTCTTTATCCCTCCCAGATCTATAGTGAAGGAGAGATATCCTCAGTCATCCCCTTTGATCAAAAGACTGTAACCCCATGTCTGTACCTTAATGAATTGATTCTCTAGTGAGTTTCATAAATCCCTTGGCCCCATGGAGTATTACCACTAGTCAACAGGGCGCAATATTTACTTGTAATAAAAACGTTCTTACTGAAATGCCACTGTGCTTGCTACTATGACATGTTGGTGTACTTACGCTGAATAAAATTGTATCAAATGCAAAGGAATATAAAGGCCCAGTGCAGTCAAAAATGTGATTTACCTGTGTTGTATATACAGTGCATTCGGAAAGTATTCAGACCCCTTGACTTTTTCCACATTTTGTTACGTTACAGCCTTATTCTAAAATGGATTAAATTGTGTTTTCCCCTCAATCTACACACAATACCACATAATGACAAAGCAAAAACAGGTTTTTAGAAATTGTTGCACATTTATTAAATATAAACTGAAATATGACATTTACATAAGTATTCAGACCCTTTACTCAGTACTTTGTTGAAGCACCTTTGGCAGCGATTACAGCTTCAAGTCTTCTTGGGTATGATGTACAAGCTTGGCACACCTGTATTTGGGGAGTTTCTCCCATTCTTCAATACAGATCCTCTCAAGCTCTGTCAGGTTGGATGGGGAGCGTTGCTGCACAGCTATTTTCAGGTCTCTCCAGAGATGTTCGTTGAGGTTCAAGTCCGGGCTCTGGCTGGGCCACCCAAGGACATTCAGAGACTTGTCCCAAAGCCACTCCTACGTTGTCTTGGCTGTGTGCTTAGGGTCGTTGTCCTGTTGGAAGGGGAACCTTCACCCCAGTCTGAGGTCCTGAGCGCTCTGGAGCAGGTGTTCATTAAGGATCTCTGTACTTTGCTCCGTTCATCTTTCCCTCGATCCTGACTAGTCTCCCAGTCCTTGCCGCTGAAAAACATCCCCCCAGCATGGAAAAGGAGGGCCGAACACCTCCCCATTCACATCGACGGGGCTGTAGTGGAGCGGGTCGAGAGTTTCAAGTACCTTGGTGTCCACATCACCAACAAACTATCATGGTCTAAACACACCAAGACAGTCGTGAAGAGGGCACGACAACACCTTTTCCCCCTCAGGAGACTGAAAAGATTAGGCATGGGTCCCCAGATCCTCAAAAACTTGCACCATCGAAGAGCATCCTGACCGGTTGCATCACCGCCTGGTATGGCAACTGCTCCGCATCCGACCGTAAGGCGCTGCAGAGGGTAGTACATCACTGGGGCCAAGCTTCCTGCCATCCAGGACCTATATACTAGGCGTGTCAGAGGAAGGCCCCAAAAATTGTCAAAGACTCCAGCCACCCAAGTCATAGACTGTTCTCTCTGCTACCGCACGGCAAGCGGTACCGGAGCGCCAAGTCTAGGTCCAAAAGGCTCCTTAATAGCTTCTACCCCCAAGCCAAAAGACTGCTGAACAATTAATCAAATGGCCACCCGGACTATTTACATTGACATTTTACACTGCTGCTACTCGCTGTTTATTATTGATGCATAGTCACTTTACCCCTACCTACATGTACAAATGACCTCGACTAACCTGTACGCCCGCACATTGACTCGGTACCGGTACCCCCTGTATATAGCCTCGTTACTTTTGATTTTATTTTTTACTTTATTTTATTTAGTAAATAACTGCATTGTTGGTTAAGGGCTTGTAAGTAAGCATTTCACGGCACATGTGACAAATACAATTTAATTTGATTTGATGCTGCCACAATAATTCACTGTAGTGATGGTGCTAGGTTTCCTCCAGACGTGACGCTTGACATTCAGGCCAAAGAGTTCAATCTTGGTTTCATCAGACCAGAGAATCTTGTTTCTCATGGTCTGAGTGTCCTTTAGGTGCCTTTTGGCAAACTCCAAGCAGGCTGTCATGTGCCTTTTAATCAAGTTGTAGAAACATCTCAAGGATGATCAATGGAAACAGAATGCACCAGAGCTCAATTTCGAGTCTCATAGCAAAGGGTCTGAATACTTATGTAAATAAGTTATCTGTTTGTGTTTTATAAATTTGCGACTTCACCAGGCAGTATAAATTAATCTCCCCATAACAAAGGGAGTTTCAAACCTCTGCCAATAACGCCTCGTTTTCAGGTTACATATCCCTCCCATTAGGCTCATCCAATTAGGCCCCTCACTCAGACCACTCCCAGCCAGTCCTAGCAAAATTCTTGCTTGAGAAATTACTCTTAGCCAAGAAACTATTTTTGTTTATTTTTGACAATTTTAATTGAAAACAATCAATCACAGTAAGGTACTTGAATTTTTACCCAGAAATGATTTGATAATCGCTAGGTTTCCATCCAATTGGCGACAGATTTTCATGCAAATATTCTAAAATACGCATAAAAACATTATGCGCATTTTCCCACCAGAGAGGTGTTTCCATCAAATTGACTTGTTGCAGATAAAAGGCTGTGCGTGATGACGTAGTGCACATAAAAATACATTTTGCGGTTGAAATCCCATGTACTAAAAGAAATAACGGTTTCCATCGAATTTTCAACTCTACTGATGGTTTTCTCACAAACAAATGTTGCGTTATATAGCAAGTGTGCCCACTCTGGTATTGGCAAGTGCGCTCTAGCCAACAGTGCTATTTGCGCGCTGTTGGCTAGAGCGTACGTATAACCTACATGATGAGATTGTATGGACAAAAGATATTAACATTTTTCAAATGGCAGCCAAGCATCGATTATCATGTCACCAGAATAAGACCCTAGATATTTATTGGAAAGGAGCATCAAGCTCATCACCTTGCACTTTCACCACACTGTGAAGTTCATCATAATTGATTTAATCTGTAGTTAAATTAATAAACTGCATGCTTTCCCGATGAGTCGTAGTGGGAGGACCACACAACATGTCATCGCGTTCAAAATTATGGTTATTATATCAATTTTTGCGCAAAAAAGCATTTCCACCGACATTTCTCGCATAATTCATTTTATGACACAAAAAGATCTCACGTTGTCTAGTGTATTTTTTTGTCTACATTTGGAAAGTTTACCGGAAAAAAGTGTTTCCATCAGGCCTTTCATTACATTATTTTTATCTGACATGTACTTTACGCGGTTGGATGGAAACCTGGTTATTGAGATAAAAGCGGCTGCATTGGACCTTTAAAGAAAAAAATATTAAAGTCGCACTGTGCCCTCTAATTCAATCAACATGCCTTAGGAGACATCTGGAGGTAGAAATCTTTGACTACACTGACCAAACACATTATTATTCCCCATCTTTTAAAGTTCGGTCTTTTAAAATGTATACTTATAAGAACATCAATGCAATGCCATGGGGATAATTACAACTCTACTGCCTCTGTAAATTTACTAACTATAATATATTTTTTATATATACATTAAAGTGACAGTTCACTCTAGAATCAAAGTTAGCCAGATGTTTTCAGACCGCAAAAGTAGTGTAGATTAGTTCATCAAACATGATTAGGACTACATTTTGAAGTCTGAAAATGTCTGATACACATTGGTCACGTGCATCTCCGCTAGACTGAATTGTAGGACCGAGACGATTCCAGTATCTCGATACTCGTTAATATCATGGCAAGAAACAAAGCATGAAGCAGATTTAACTTCTTTAGGAAAACAGCCCTAATGTTGGAAACAAACATCATTATGTTGTCATCCAGAGTCACATTTATTTATTTTCCAAGCTATAGTGCACAATATTTTACATACAGCAGGTTTTTAAAGGACTCTGCTTCATGTTTTCATTTTTGACATGGAAAGAATATTGCAATACTGGTATCGTCCCGGCCCTACTGAATTGATGCATCTGCAGGAGAGCAAATAAACACTAATTATTATTTACTGTGTAGTATCCATTTTTGTACGGTTCCACAGCAATGGGAAGTTACTGTGCTGCTGTAAGCCTTATGATTAACCCTCTCTGTATTCAGTATTGTAGCAATGCTGATACATGCTAATAACAACCCAAGTGACATTCCTTTTTCATGTGCTTCCATAAGCACACCTCAAATAATTTATTTCTCTTAAATACATTAAAAGTGTTGAGGCAGGGAAAATTACATGGGATTGGCCATACATGTTCTTACATCAAATATCTTAAAGGCACATTTCTCAAATAATTGAGTGTACACAAAGTTATCTCGTCTCTTACCGATCATAGGTTACATTTTATTATTTCTGTACAGGAGCTCACCTAGGGGCCCTTCAGTGCACTAGTCCGTTGCAGGAGTCTCGTCTAAGCTGAATTACCAAAAGCTTTCTCAAAGCACCTTTTCACTCAGCTACTTCAACTGCTGCTCAGCTGGCTGACACCTAGCTCTCGAAAACTATAGGCGGCATTCTGCTTTATCCCTACAGGTCTCAAACATTAGCTTCGCCCACGACTGCCTAATGTGAACTACAATCCAGACGCTGTGTTTTAACGTTTAGAACCGTCAATAATCATCGCTTGCGATACGGCTTTCGAAACATATGGCCCGTATCCTTCATCAGCGAGCAAGAATCCTTCAAAAAAAATATATACTTACTGTAGCAGTGTTGCACAGATCCATACAGCTATGTGTGCCTCCATCCGACGAAATTAAACTTCCGCTACACTTCCGGAGTTACGTTTACACACAGGTGTTCGGAGCATGCTAGATAGCTAATTAGCACAGGTGGTCGCCTCTTGTCTTCGTCTGTTTAACGTAAACAAGCGCTGTAACATGGAGATATGCCTGTGTGTGAACCCTAACCCTATCAAGTTGTGTATCAATTTAACCTTTTGTTTTTTGAAAATTATTTCTCGCTGACATGAAAGATAAGGTCCTTATGCATCCAAAACTTTACCCCAAGCGATCCATGTAAATGTTCAGACCGAACAGCGGGGATCTTAACAAACCTTCCCCCTACAGAAGACGCCTTCGTCCAATGTCTTATGTGTAATGTAATGGAACTGAGAGTCATGAACAAGAGCTAGCTGATACCAAGGTCCAAACTTGTGCAGCCAGGTATCATCAGCTTACTTCCCACGCTTAAAACTTTGTGCTTATGACATAAAATTCACTTTTCACAACTTTTTAAAAGCCAAGTTGAATCATAACACCATATTGAACGTTAGCCTAATTAACCATTGCACCGTTCTGCAATTCATTCAACACTGCAGAATCAATCAACACATATCTTTAAATGTTGCAGGGTTTCAAAAACTTTAAAAAACCTTCAATATAGGCCTAAACCAATATGCTTCGGTTCCTCACTATCACTTCCTACATCAAACTTCCAACAATTTCCATTTGAACAAAGTAAATGTTTATATTTTCTAGTGAACGATATGCAAACACACAAGTGGTTGAGTGCCGCCTTGTGATTGCGGAACAGCTCTACCCAATGCACCAGTAATCACTCAATCATCAGCTTCTATTACAGTATCATTAACCTTTGACCTATATTCTTAGGTTAAGCAGCTTTCATTAGGACATCTGGATACAGCAAGAATGGAACAGATGGAAACCAATCAAGGGTGTGTCAAGTTGGCACAAGGTATGTCCCTTACCATTGCACTCAGCCTTCTCATATGAATCCTATAGTGTGGATGAAAATAATGCCCTCCTATGCTTGTCCAGTGTCATTTTGCTAAATCAATTTCCTCCCTGTTTCAAGTTGACCAGAATAGACACTGCCATGACAACCAACACCCCAACAGCCATCTCCATCATCTTGCCCAGCTCCCGGTCTTTGATGGCCTCTTTCTTCCTCATCATCTCCTCCTTCCTAACTCGCAGCTCCTCCTCTCTCAGGAGCTGGGATTTGTAGTGGGATTTGATGAAGTTGTCGAAGTCGAAAATGTTCTTGCTGTCTATCCCCAAGGCGGAAGACTGGCGTGCCTCCCTTGTTGGCTGAGATGAGGAGCTCTTGGTGTCCTTCGTGGAAGGTTTGCTCGCTCCAGTAACGTCTCCCTGACTCAGAATGCCTCGGTCGTATTTCTTCCTCAGCCCCTTGTTGCCCAACACGTTGTAAGCCTCGCTGATGTTGGAGAAGCGGTTCGTAGCCTCCTCACTGCCTGCATTCTTATCTGGGTGGTAGATGAAAGACTGCTTGTAGTAAGCTGTCTTGATCTGAGCTTGTGTGGCGGTTGGAGACACCTCAAGGATTTCATAATATGCCGTTCTGCTTTTATACAGGGGCTCAGACATGTTGCCGTTTCCATAAGCTCTCACAAATAACTGCTCATGACACAGCCGCAAACTAAAGCTTGACTGTCTGTTAGCAAATCTCACCATACACAGAGATCTTCTCTGCTCGCGCCTGGTTTGAGTTGTGGTGTCCGTCACAAGACCGTTTCTTCTCCAGCTTGAGGCTCTAGAGGCAATAACATGGACCTGTGTGTCGGCCAGGTGAGGTGAACTGAGATAAAACCACCCTGAAGCACTTTGTTTATCGAGTAGTCTTATATCCTCACTGTCTGACAAATTATTCCTCCATGCAGAACCAAACTGTAATTCTGCCTCACCGCATTTTGATATAAGGTCGTGGCAAAATCCAATCTTAAATCCACCATCGGGGAGTGTGCGGAGGGACCTTGAGTTCTCAGTTCCTAAAGTCTCCTCAGGAATTCCGAGAGACTGCAACGGTGTCCAGTTGCCGAGCCGGGCTGTATTATCATGGTCATTTTGAGCTTCGCCAGACCGATATTCTGTCAGCAAGCTTGTGGCTTGTATTGCGCTTTTAGCTTGGTTGCCCTCAATCCCTAGAGGCAACTGTTTATATGTGTTTTTAAGAATTCTGTAGGCTCCCATACCAATTTTCAGTCTGACCTCCGCCATGTTTGCAAGGAGCAAATAATAACATTTCCGGTTACTGCATCGGGCCAATAAAAACCTTGGTACTTGGAAAGTGCACAGAAAGTGGCCAATCAAATGTGAGAAGCATTTTTGCGACTCATAGTGCGTTACGTCATGGTAATTACGCAACATTTGTTTCAGCGAGGAATTTCAGACAAAATATCCACAGGAAGGTTTTCGCTGCTTGGGTCTGCTATCCCTGCCCAGATCGGAATTGTATCAAACGCATGGTTTCTGTCAGTGGTGTAATTACTTAGGTAAAAATACTTTAAAGTACTACTTAAGTAGGTTTCTGCGGGAGCTGTACTTTACTTTAGTATTTATATTTTTGACAACTTTTACTTTTATTTCACTACATTCCTAAAGAAAATAATGTACTTTTTACTCCATACGTTTTCCATGACACCCAAATGTAGGCTACTCGTTACATTTTTTATGCTTAGCAGGACAGGGAATTGGTCCAATTCACACACTTATCAAGAGAACATCCCTGGTCATCTCTACTGCCTCTGATCTGGCGGACTCACTAAACACACATGCTTCGTTTGTATGTCGAAGTGTTGGAGTGTGCCCCTGGCTATCCATACGTAAAAAAAAAAAAAAACGAAAATTGTGCCGTCTGGTTTGCTTAATATAAGGATTTTTAAATGATTTATACTTTTAATACTTAAGTATATTTTAGCAATTACATTTAGCCTACTTTTGATGCTAAGTATATTTAAAACCAAATACTTATAGGCTTTTACTCAAGTAGTATTTTACTGGGTGACTTTCACTTTTACTTGAGTCGTTTTCTATCAAGGTACAGTATCTTTACTTTTACTCAAGTATGACAATTGGGTACTTTTTCCACCACTGGTTTCTATGTGTTTGATGCCATTCCATTTGCTCCGTTCTAGCCATTATTATGAGCCTTCCTCCCTTCAGCAGCCTCCACTGCTCTAATAATAATAAATAATATGCCATTTAGCAGACACAGACGGATGCTCTCTTATATTTCTCTCTGGTCTCTCTTTCTGGTCTCTCTCTATCTTTGACCTCTCACTGAGCAGACAATCTGGTCTCTCTCCTTTATTTCTCCATGTGAGTCTTTGACCCCTCTCTATATGTATAGGACAAATATAAGCACCCACCTAATTATTATATTATATGTGGTGATTCCTCCAGAAAGCAGGACAAAATAAATACCATGATTTTTTTGGATGTTCAGGAAATGTAATCCATAGAATGTTCCTTTGGAGGAAGGATTGTTGACATACACTCTGATGTATTTATTTCGACAGTGAAGCTAAAACTTTTAATTTGGCTCAATACTCCAGCATTTTGGATTTGAGAGCAAATGTTTCATATAAGGGTATTTTCATACATATCTGTTTTATCGTTTAGAAATGAAAGCACTTTATGTATCTAGTCCCCCCATTTGAAGGTGACATAAGTATTTTGACAAATTCCCTTATGTGTATTAAAGTAGTCAAACGTTTAATATTTGGTCCCATATTCCTAGCACGCAGTGACTACATCAAGCTTGTTGGATGCATTTGCAGTTTTTGTTTTGGTTGTGTTTCGGAGTATGTTTTGCCCAGTAGAAATTAATGATAAATAATGTATTGTGTCATTTTGGAGTCACTTTTTTTTGCAAATAATAATTGTATATGTTTCTGAACACTTCTACATTAATGTGGATGCTACCATGAGTACGGATAATCATGAATCATGAATAGTGATGAGTGAAAGTTACAAAGGCACAAAGATCATACCCCCAAGACATGCTAACCTCTCACGGTATTTATGCCTATGTAACTTTCTCACTCATCATTATTCTCGATTAATTCATGATTATCCATTATCATGGAACATCCACATTAATGTAAAAGTATTCAGAAACATATTCCATTCTCATTTACAATAAAAGTGACTACAAAATGACACAATACATTATTTACCATTCATTTCTATTGGGCACAATATAATCTGAAATACAACCAAAACAAACGGCAAATGCATCTAACAAGTTTGTAGAGTGACAAGCTTGATGTAGCCATTGCATCCTAGAAATATGGGACCAAATACTAAACTTTTGACTAGTACACTACTACATTTGTCCAAATGCTTATGACACCTTCAAATGGGGGCATTAGATACATAAAGTGCTTTCATTTCTAAACAGTAAACAGATATGTATGGCATAGAAGGCCCTTCTTGCCTTGTCTCTCAGATCTTTCACAGCATCCCTGTCTCACCCCACGGCCCTGTGGAAAGAAATGTGTATGTTTTTTGCACTTGTTGTTTGTGTACATGGATTTTATAATGTCGTATGTTTTTCCCCCAACCCCAATTTCCATCATTTTGTATAGCAGACCCTCATGCCAAATTGAGTCAAAAGCTTTTTTGAAATCAACAGAGCATGAGAAGACTTTGCCTTTGTTTTGGTTTGTTTGTTTGTCAATTAGGGTGTGCAGGGTGAATACGTGGTCTGTCGTACGGTAATTTGGTATAAAAGCCAATTTGACATTTGCTCAGTACATTGTTTTCACTGAGGAAAGGAACTAGTCTGCTGTTAATGATAATGTAGAGGATTTTCCCAAGGTTGCTGTTGACGCATATCCCACTAGTTATTGGGGTCAAATTTGTCTCCGCTTTTGTGGATTGTGGTGATCAGTCCTTGGTTCCAAATATTGGGGAAGATGCCACAGCTGAGGATGATGTTAATGAGTTTAAGTATAGCCAATTGGAATTTGTGGTCTGTATATTTTATCATTTCATTGAGGATACCATCAACACCACAGGCCTTTTTGGGTTGGAGGGTTTGTATTTTGTCCTGTAGTTCATTCAATGTAATTAGATAATCCAGTGGGTTCTGGTAGTATTTAGTAGTTGATTCTAAGATTTGCATTTGATCATGTATATTTTTTTGCTGTTTGTTCTTTGTTATAGGGCCAAAAGGATTGGAGAAGTGGTTTACCCATACATCTCAGTTTTGGATAGATAGCTCTTCGTGTTGTTGTTTGTTTAGAGTTTTCTCAGAAGTGGTTAGATTCTATGGATTCTTCAATTACATTGAGCTGATTTCTGACATGCTGTTCCTTCTTTTTCCGTAGTGTATTTCTGTATTGTTTTAGTGATTCACCATAGTAGGCTCAGGTTTTCTGGGTCTCTATGTTTTTGGTTGGATAGGTTTCTCTATTTCTTTCTTAGGTTTTTACATTCTTCATCAAACCATTTGTCACTGTTGTTACTTTTCTTCGGTTTTCTGTTAGAGATTTTTAGATTTGATAGGGAAGCTGAGAGGTCAAATATACTGTTTAGGTTTTCTACTGCCAAGTTTACACCTTCACTATTACAGTGGAACGTTTTGTCCAGGAAGTTGTCTAAAAGGGATTGAATTTGTTGTTGCCTAATTGTTTTTTGGTAGGTTTCGACACTACTTTCCTTCCATCTATAGCATTTCTTAATATTATTCAGTTCCTTTGGCTTTGATGCCCCATGATTGAGTATTGCTCTGTTCAAGTAGACTGTGATTTTGCTGTGGTCTGATAGGGGTGTCAGTGGGCTGCCTGTGAACGCTTTGAGAGACTCTGGGTTGAGGTCAGTGATAAAGTAGTCTACAGTACTACTGCCAAGAGATGAGCTATAGGTGTACCTACCATAGGAGTCCCCTCAAAGCCTACCATTGACTCCCTATGAGGAGAGCTGTGACTTACCATGAAATACAATACAATAAATTAATTCAAGGATGAGTCTGACATTTATATTATCTGAGATATTTTTGAACGAAGCACGGAGTAAATCCATTCATGTGAGGTGTCAACTGAACTTCAGTTATTTCCTCCACCAGGTGGCGCTAGTGTCTAAAACATAGATATTAAAAAGCGATCATAATTCTGATCATGTATGAATTGTTCACAAAACAGTAATTTTGAATGGCAGTTTTCATTCTTCATAATCTGGAAACTAGGCCTATTTAAAATGTGTCTGCCATATTGTAGCCTGTACCATGCAATTTCTTTCTCTTTTAATCCTGAAAGCGATTATCCTGACATTCATCTCTGCAAACAATTTTTTTTAAAGAAATGTTTTTTAAAAAGTGACACATTTCTAATACGTTAATGTCAAGAAAATTCATGGCATCTTGTACTTTGAGATTATTGCGCGCTCTCGATTGATCTACACCCCTTGCGCGCGCCCGCCGCTCTCATCACCCGTCGGAAAATAAAATAAAAACCCTGACTCGAGAGTACGGATATAAGGAGCATCTACCAAGTTGGAGAGGTGTTGGAGAAACAAGTGGAAAAGTCGTGATTCACGATGAAGGACCGTACACACGAGCTTAGGGTGGTAAGTTATTTATATTTTTAATTCTACTCTAGAGACCCCAGAAGCAAACGGTGGTTATTTGGAAGTGTTGGGCGGTAGGTGCGCCTCACTTCTTTTTTTGGAGGTGGAAAGCAGCTGTCTTAGAGTAGGACCTCTTAAAATGTTTAATTTACTGTGATTTTATAACAATGGTGTACATTTCTGGGGATCAGTTTAGCTTAGTAGGCTATCAAAGTAAAAGTTGTTCCACATGTCCATATGGAAACGCAACGTGTGAGAGGACGGTGAAAACATTGGCACCCGTCAGGTGTTGTAGGCTGTTGTCCATTAATAGGCTAGTTGTTGTACATCGTCTTTAAATGGGAATTGTTCATAAACGCGCGCGAAACTTTTTTTCCCCAATGTGATTTCCCTTATAGTCTAGCTAGTCTGCTTCTAGCTTCAGCCCTATAGAAAAACGATGTATTAACTATTCTTTTATGAACTGGCCTTCTCTGAATGTCTAGATATAATGCTTTTCTTTTCCCCCTTAATTCCACATAGGCTAGTTGTCTTTTATCCGATAGGCTTTATCCAAGTGTTTATTAACGATCTTGAGTCAATTCACATCTCAGTGAAACCTTACTAACATCACACATTATAAATCACGTTTCTCTCTATATACTGTATCTCTTTAGCGCTCCCTCTCTATCTCTCACACACACACACACACACACACACACACACACAGCTGGGGAAAGGGGGCATTTCTCAGTTCTCAGAGGAGCTGCTTTAGCATCTGTGGATGACAGTTAACACCTGGTTTCTCCCCTGGAGGGACCACACTGACCAATCACAGTCCATCTCACATGAGTGATATCCCATATGTCATCTAGGAATGGTTTCACAGACAATCAAGATTTTTCTTCTTATAGATGGGGCCAGTTTGTTACATAAACTACACTGGCAAAAGACACCCCTTCAAATTAGTGGATTCAGCTATTTCAGCCACACCCTTTGCTGACAGGTGTATAAAAACGAGCACACAGCCATGCGATCTCCATAGACAAATATTGGCAGTAGAATGGCCCATACTGAAGAGCTCAGTGACTTTCAACGTGGCACCGTCATAGGATGCCACCTTTCCAACAAGTCAGTTCGTCACATTTCTGCCCTGCTAGAGCTGCCCCGGTCAACTGTAAGTGCTGTTATTGTGAAGTGGAAACATCTAGAAGCAACAACGGCTCAGCCACGAAGTGGTAGGCCACACAAGCTCACAGAACGGGACCGCCAAGTTTTGAAGCGTGTAGCGCGTAAAAATCATCTGTCCTCGGTTGCAACACTCACTACCGAGTTCCAAACTACCTCTGGAAGCATCTTCAGCACAATAACTGTTTGTCGGGAGCTTCATGAAATGGGTTTCCATGGCCGAGCAGCTGCACACAAGCCTAAGATCACCATGCTCAATGCCAAGCGTCGGCTGGAGTGGTGTAAATCTCGCCGCCATTGGAGCAGTGGACTCTGGAGCAGTGGAAACGCGTTCTCTGGAGTGATGAATCATGCTTCACAATCTGGCAGTCCGATGGACAAATCTGGGTTTGGCGGATGCCAGGAGAACGCTACCTGCCCCAATGCATAGTGCCAACTGTAAAGTTTGGTGGAGGAGGAATAATGGTCTAGGGCTGTTTTTCATGGTTTGGGCTAGGCCCCTTAGTTCCAGTTAAGGGAAATCTTAACGCTACAGCATACAATGGCATTCTAGACGATTCTGTGCTACCAACTTTGTAGCAACAGTTTGGGGAAGGCCCCTTTCCTGTTTCAGCATGACAATGCCCCCTGCACAAAGCGAGGTCCATACAGAAATGGTTTGTCTCGATCGTTGTGGAAGAACTTGACTGGCCTGCACAGAGCCCTGACCTGAACCCAATCAAACACCTTTGGGATGAATTGGAATGGCGACTGCGAGCCAGGCCTAATCGCCCTACATCAGTGCCCAACCTCACTAATGCTTTTGTGGCTGAAAAGAAGCAAGTCCCCGCAGCAATGTTCCAACATCTAGTGGAAAGCCTTCCCAGAAGAGTGGAGGCTGTTATAGCAGCAAAGGGGGGACCAACTCTATATTAATGGCAATGATTTTGGAATGAGATTTGTATTTATTAGGGATCCCCATTAGCTGCTGCCAAGGCAGCAGCTACTCTTCCTGGGGTCCAAACATATTAAAGCATTTACATTACATATAAAACAAAATATAAAACAGTACATCATATGACATTATTACACCACTACCTATCTACAGTACAAAATGTTTAATACCACCATACAACAATATCACAACGTGTGCGTATGCATGTGTCTATACCCTTGTGTGTGTCTCTTCACAGTCCCTGTTGTTCCATAAGGTTTATTTTTACCTGATAAAAAATAATAATAATCTGATTCAACTGCTTGCATCAGTTACCTGATCTAGAATAGTTCCATGGAGTCATGGCTCTATGTAGTACTGTGCGCCTCCCATAGTCTGTTCTGGACTTGGGGACTGTGAAGAGACCTCTGGTGGCATGTCTTGTGGAGTATGCATGGGTGTCCAGGGTCGGCAGGTAGCTTAGTGGTTAAGAGCGTGCCAGTAACCGAAAGGTCGCTGGTTCTAATCCCCGAGCCGACTAGGTGAAAAATCTGTCTGTGCCCTTGAGCAAGGCACTTAACCCTAATTGCTCCTGTAAGTCGCTCTGGATAAGAGCGTCTGCTAAATGACTAAAATGTAAAAATGTGTCCAAGCTGTGTGCCAGTATTCCAAACAGACAGCTCGGTACATTCAGCTTGTCGACACCTCTTATAAAAACAAGCAGTGATGAAGTCAATCTCTCTTCCGCTCTGAGCCAGGAGAGACTGACATGCATGTCATTAATGTTAGCTCTCCATGTACTTTTAAGGGCCAGCCGTGCTGCCCTGTTCTGAGCCAACTGCAATTTTCCCAAGTCTCTCTTTGTGGCACCTGACCACACTACTGAACAGTAGTCTAGGTGCGACAAAACTAGGGCCTGTAGGACCTGCCTTGTTGATAGTGTTGTTAAGAAGGCAGAGCAGCGCTTAATTATCTACATACTTCTCCCCATCTTAGCTACTGTTGTATCAGTATGCTTTGACCATGACAGTCTACAATCCAGGGTTACTCCAAGCAGTTTAGTCACCTCAACTTGCTCAATTTTCACATTATTCATTACGAGATGTAGTTGAGGTTTAGGGAATGATTTGACCCAAATACAATGCTTTTAGTTTTGGAAATATTCAGGATTTATTTATTCCTTGCCACCCATTCCGAAACTAACTGCAGTTCTTCGTTAAGTGTTGCAGTTATTTCAGTTGCTGTAGTAGCTGACATGCATAGTGTTGAGTCATCCGCATAAATAGACTCAAAGCCAGTGGCATGTCGTTAGTAAAGATGGAAAAAAGCAAGGGGCCTAGACAGCTGCCCTGGGGAATTCCTAATTCTACCTGGATTATGTTTCAGAGTCTTCCATTAAAGAACACCCTCTGTGTTCTGTTAGACAAGTAACTCTTTATCCACATTATAGCAGGGGGTGTAAAGCCATAACACATATGTTTTTCCAGCAGCAGACTATGATCGATAATGTCAAAAGCCGCACTGAAGTCTAACAAAACAGCCCCCACAATCGTTTTATCATCAATTTCTCTCAGCCAATCATCAGTCATTTGTGTAAATGCTGTGCATGTTGAATGTCCTTTTCTATAAGCATGCTGAAAGTTTGTTGTCAATTTGTTTACAGTAAAATAGCATTTTATCTGGTCAAACACATTTTTTTCCAATAGTTTACTAAGGGTTGGTAACAGGCTAATTGGTCGGCTATTTGAGCCAGTAAAGGGGGCTTTACTATTCTTACAAAATACCAATGATTGTCTTTCATAGTTTGGGCAGATATACTTGGATGTGTAGTGTCAGCAATTGTTGCTGGCATGTCATGCCTAAGTTTGCTAATCTTGCCAATGAAAAACATTATTAAAGTAGTTGGCAATATCAGTTGGTTTTGTGATGAATGAGCCATCTGATTCAATGAATGATGGAGCTGAGTTTGCCTTTTTTCCCAAAATGTCATTTAAGGTGCTCCAAAGCTTTTTACTATCATTCTTTATGTAATTTATCCTTGTTTCATAGTGTTGTTTCTTCTTCTTTTTATTCAGTTTAGTCACATGATTTCTCAATTTGCAATACGTTTGCCAATCGGTTGTGCAGCCAGACTTATTTGCCATTCCTTTTGCCTCATCCCTCTCAACCATACAATTTTTCAATTCCTCATCAATCCACGGGGATTTAACAGTTTTTATATTCATTTTCTTAATAGGTGCATGCTTATTAGTAACTGGAATAAGCAATTTCATAAATGTGTCAAGTGCAGTGTCTGTTTGCTCCTCATTACACACCACGGACCAACATATATTATTTACATCAACAACATAGGAATCACTACAAAACCTATTGTATGACCTCTTATACACAATATTAGGCCCAGCCTTTGGAACTTAGATTTTCCTAGATATGACTACTATATTGTGATCACTACATCCAATGGATTTGGATACTGCTTTCAAACAAATCTCTGCAGCATTAGTAAAGATATGATCAATACATGTTGATGATTTAATTCCTGTACAGTTTGTAACCACCCAGGTAGGTTGACTTATAACCTGAACCAGGTTGCAGGCACTGGTTACAGTTTGAAGCTTTCTCTTGAGTGGGCAGCCTGATGAAAGCCAGTCAATATTTAAATCACCCAGAAAGTATAATAATAATAATAATATAATATAATAATATAATATAATAATAATATAATATAATAATAATATGCCATTTAGCAGACGCTTTTATCCAAAGCGACTTACAGTCATGCGTGCATACATTTTTTGTTTTTTTTGTTTTTGTGTATGGGTGGTCCCGGGGATCGAACCCACTACCTTGGCGTTACAAGCGCCGTGCTCTACCAGCTGAGCTACAGAGGACAATAGTATACCTCTATTGATATCACATACAGTGAAGCAGAACTTAATATTTGGTACAGAATCCTTTGTTTGCAATTACAGAGATCATACGTTTCCTGTAGGTCTTGACCAGATTTGCACACACTGCAGCAGGGATTTTGACCCACTCCTCCATACAGACCTTCTCCAGATCCTTCAGGTTTCGGGGCTGTCGCTGGGCAATATGGACTTTCAGCTCCCTCCAAAGATGTTCTATTGGGTTCAGGTCTGGAGACTGGCTAGGCCACTCCAGGACCTTGAGATGCTTCTTACGGAGCCACTCCTTAGTTGCCCTGGCTGTGTATTTCGGGTCGTTGTCATGCTGGAAGACCCAGCCACGACCCATCTTCAATGCTCTTACTGAAGGAAGGAGGTTGTTGGCCAAGATCTCGCGATACATGGCCCCATCCATCCTCCCCTCAATACGGTGCAGTCGTCCTGTCCCCTTTGCAGAAAAGCATCCCCAAAGAATGATGTTTCCACCTCCATGCTTCACGGTTGGGATGGTGTTCTTGGGGTTGTACTCATCCTTCTTCTTCCTCCAAACACGGCGAGTGGAGTTTAGACCAAAAAGCTCTATTTTTGTCTCATCAGACCACATGACCTTCTCCCATTCCTCCTCTGGATCATCCAGATGGTCATTGGTAAACTTCAGATGGGCCTGGACATGCGCTGGCTTGAGCAGGGGGACCTTGCGTGCGCTGCAGGATTTTAATCCATGGCGGCGTAGTGTGTTACTAATGGATTTCTTTGAGACTGTGGTCCCAGCTCTCTTCAGGTCATTGACCAGGTCCTGCCGTGTAGTTCTGGGCTGATCCCTCACCTTCCTCATGATCATTGATGCCCCACGAGGTGAGATCTTGCATGGAGCCCCAGACCGAGGGTGATTGACCGTCATCTTGAACTTCTTCCATTTTCTAATAATTGCGTCAACAGTTGTTGCCTTCTCACCAAGCTGCTTGCCTATTGTCCTGTAGCCCATCCCAGCCTTGTGCAGGTCTACAATTTTATCCCTGATGTCCTTACACAGCTCTCTGGTCTTTGCCATTGTGGAGAGGTTGGAGTCTGTTTGATTGAGTGTGTGGACAGGTGTCTTTTATACAGGTAACGAGTTCAAACAGGTGCAGTTAATACAGGTAATGAGTGGAGAACAGGAGGGCTTCTTAAAGAAAAACTAACAGGTCTGTGAGAGCCGGATTTCTTACTGGTTGGTAGGTGATCAAATACTTATGTCATGCAATAAAATGCAAATTAATTACTTAAAAATCATACAATGTGATTTTCTGGATTTTTGTTTTAGATTCCGTCTCTCACAGTTGAAGTGTACCTATGATAAAAATTACAGACCTCTACATGCTTTGTAAGTAGGAAAACCTGCAAAATCGGCAGTGTATCAAATACTTGTTCTCCCCACTGTACATTATCAAGCATTTCACACGTTATCCAGATACCGACTGTTAGCACTTGGTGGTCTTTAGCAGCTTCCCACCAGAATTGGCTTTAGGTGAGGCAGATTAACCTGTAGCCATATTACTTCAACAGTATGTAACATGAGATCCTCTCTAATCTTCGCAGGAATGTGGTTCTGAACATAAACAGCAACACCTCCACCATTGGCATTTCTATCTTTTCTGTAAATGTTATAACCTTGTATTGCTACCACTGTATTAATGTGGGCTATTTTGAGCACTTTTCTTCTGGGATGCTTACTTGTTTTTATTGCTTTACTGGGAAGCTTAGCAGCAGTAGATGTGCTCATGTTCTTTATGTAAGTGCAGGGTGAGCTGCACACAGTGGACTGCCTCCTCGGGCACACCGGCTCAGTGCTAACAGTATAAATCTGGTTCTTAGGCACATTATTACTGCACACAATAGCTGTAGGATCAGCAGTGGCATTCATGGCAGTTAGAGGGACATAAATTAGGTTACTTATATTGTGACTACTGACGCCCCTGATGTAATGTACATTTGCTGAAGCATTTTGACAACTCTGCGTCACAATGGTAATGATTAGCTGACCTCGGCTTGGGTCATTGCTAAGTCATTATCTCAACGCCGCCTTATAATGCTGTGAAAGGATCCAGGAACCCAAATTATTTAGGTAGATCCCATCCTCCTTATAAAACGTGTTTTGTTTCCAAAAGGTATCGAAATTGTCAACAATAGTTACACCCATTGAGCTGCAATTATCACGTAGCCAGATGTTCGATGAGCAGGTGTCCACATACTTTTGGTCATGCAGTGTATGACTGCCCAGTCATTGTTAAACCTCTACATTAAGTTCAAATCCATTTCAGGCTTCACAGATTGCTGCTATTAAAAAAGCAATTTCACACTGGAACGTCATGCTGCGGTGGCTATTAAACACCACGACAGACAGCATGACTGGAGGGTGATATTTCCTCTCATATTCAGTGCAAGGGTGAGTTGCAGTCACTGTCCAATGTTCTGTGGTGCTGAACTTCAACATTTTGGGATTCTGATTCCGTCACTGTCCATGGTGCTGACATATCAGCTATTAGATTGATTTGTTTACATCAGGCGTTCTACATGTGACAAAGTCAGCACAATACATTTTTCAGACATCAAAAGTGGTCTAATGGTGAGATGAATCCACTTCCTAAGCCACTTGTTGAGTAGATCCAGCTACACCTCAGTCCCTAATTAGTTTCATCATCCCATGTCTAATTTAATCTTTACTCAATGTGCATGGATTCTGGCGACAGCTATGAATTTAATTAGCTGTTTTTGAGACCATAGGAAGCCAATGGAATTGGGCATAGATGGTTTTGTGTATTCAGATCCTGTAGTCCGCCAACGGGGCTGTGCCTTATTAACACCTGTGCCATGTCCTGCATGCATCTGACTGGAGATGGGGTCTGAGAAAAAACCCGGTGGCGGTGTGGAATCATCACACAGGCATTTGAGTCAAAAAGTGTACGGGCATGGGTGGACATGTTGGTTTGTATGTTGTGCAATAGGGCTGGGAATTGCCAGGGACCTCACAATACGATATTATCACGATACGATACATATTGCAACTTGATACTGGGATTTTATTGCGATTCGATGTTCCAAATATATTGCTCACAATATGTCTGCTGCAGAGGGACAAGAGAGAGCCATGAGAAAACACATTTTGATCAGTCAAGGGAAAAAAATGCTGAAAACAAATTGACTCCCTATTTAAAAAGAAGATGGAGAACAAGCTATGAAGGAAAAATACTGGAGTTTTGCTGCAGGTACAGCCAACTTGCGTAAAAATTATATCCCAATATGTAACTGTATAGACCCCCCCCCCCCCCCCCCCCCCCCCCCATCACTATTGTCCAATGGTTATAGTGCCATACCAATGCTATTCTTAGTTGTTTGCGATCTTGGTGTATTCTCAGAGATGTATCATGTCTGTTAGTGTTGAATTGTGTATTCACTGGTGCCCATTATGAAAACCTCTAGAGGCTGTACTTCTCGAGGGCCTCTCATTGATTGTAGAACAGCCACAGCATAAAGCAATGGGATTGTCCAAACTGCCCATGGCCAGTACTTGGTTGGTATATAATGCTTACATGTTGTCTGGATAATATCTTTACTTTTTAGTCAGCTATGACACTTCAGTAATGTTATTGATGGTTCCATTTGACCACTTGACATATTATGTAACACTTGCCAGTGACAGCATTGACGACTCTCTCTCTCTCTGATGAGTGTGATGATGAGTGTGCTGCTAGTGCAGATGGAGCTGGAGTTAAAGAGTGAGTCGGCAGACCGGCGGTCGTGAGAAGGCATGTCCTCCCTCACCAGAGAAGGGGGGTCTGGAGTGGTCCCCCTTCTTTCTCTCTCTTGTGTGAGAGGAGGGTGGGTGTGTGGGTGAGAGGAGGATGTTTGTGTGTGTGTACATGTGCTGACATGTGTTTGAGTGTAAGTTTGTGTGTATTTCTTTGTGGTGTGGAACGTGTAGGCTAATGGAGATAATGTGGTGTCAGTGTGGGCTGATGGCTGTAATGACTATGGTGTAGCAGCATGGAGCCGGGAACCATTGTCTCCCTTCCTGTGCCCTCCCACAGCCCATGTGTAGGAGCAGGATGAGTGTGTGACGGTGAAAACGCTCCCCCACTACTTCCATGGGGACTATTAGGTTCATCATCATCCTCCACCTCTCTGGTTGTCAACTCTCAAGTGTCCTATAATTTTTTTTATTGTGGAACAAAGAATCGCATCTGTGCTTTACTAGTACTCAGACCTTGATTACATTTTGAAGATTTTATTATGAAATGCAAATAGTTACATTAGCCTTATTAGTTTGTTACTGTAATGAGTAAAGTCTAAATCCAACATGCTTCTAGATAAGCATGGTTTACAATGGCATCAATAGCATTTTTTCTGCAAATTGCATTTTGCCCCAAGTATATTTAGATCCTATTTGCTGGATATCTTTGGAATGATATAATTGGATCTATCTTCCTCTGGTTTCCTGCTTGTTCACTAGCCTTGATGTCTTGATGCTACTACAGGCGTCTCGAATCCTGGCATGCCAGGCTAGCTTTAAGGCGATATTCATGCAGGCTAATTTCACTCTGTGGCTGGCTAATACTTCTCAATAGAGGCCAAAGGTAAGTGGGAATGGGTGATCAGTGGATATCTGTATGGGTAGAAAAATATATTGCCTGATTCAAGCTGTTGAGGCAGCAAAGGCTCTTGTGTTGATAAATTAGCATTTCCCACCCATGTATACCAACATCGTCATTGATCCGTGTGTCTTCAATCACAAGGGCCTGACTGAGTATGTATGCAACATGTCATACTGTGCATTTGGAAAGTATTCAGACCCCTTGACATTTTCCACATTTTGTTACGTTACAGCCTTATTCTAAAATTGATGATTTTTGTTTTTTTCCTCATCAATCAACACACAATACCCATAATGACAAAGCAAAAACAGGTTGTTCATTATTTTTTTTTTCAAATGTATATAAAATGTAAATATCACATTTACATAAGTATTCAGACCCTTTACTCAGTACTTTGTTGAAGCACCTTTGGCAGCGATTACAGCCTCAAGTCTTCTTGGGTATGACGCTACAAGCTTAGCACACTTGTATTTGGGGAGTTTCTCCCATTCTTCTCTGCAGATCCTCTCAAGCTCTGTCAGGTTGGATGGGGAGCGTCGCTGCACAGCTATTTTCAGGTCTCTTCAGAGATGTTCGATCGGGTTCAAGTCCGGGCTCTGGCTGAGCCACTCAAGGACATTCAGAGACTTGTCCAGAAGCCACTCCTGCATTGTCTTGGCTGTGTGCTTAGAGTCGTTGTCCTGTTGGAAGGTGAACCTTCGCCCCAGTCTGAGGTCCTGAGCACTCTGGAGCAGGTTTTCATCAAGGATCTCTCTGTACTTTGCTCCGTTCATCTTTCCCTCGATCCTGACTAGTCTCCCAGTCCCAGCTGCTGAAAAATATACCCACAGCATGATGCTGCCACCACTATGCTTCACCGTAGGGATGGTGCCAGGTTTCCTCCAGACGTGATGCTTGGCATTCAGGCCAAAGAGTTAAATCTTGGTTTCATCAGAACAGAGAATCTTGTTTCTCATGGTCTGAGAGTCTTTAGGTGCCTTTTGGCAAACTCTAAGCGGGCTGTCATGTGCCTTTTACTGAGTTTGGAAGAGTCTAGGAAGAGTCTTGGTGGTTCCAAACTTCTTCCATTTAAGAATGATGGAGGCCACTGTATTGAATTTACCACAGGTGGACTCCAATCAAGTTGTAGAAACATCTCAAGGATGATCAATGGAAACAGGATGCACCTGAGCTCAATTTCGAGTCTCATAGCAAAGGGTCTGAATACTTATGTAAATAAGGTATTTCTGTTTTTTATTTTAAATACATTTGCAAACATAATTTTTTTAAAAAACTGTTTTCGCTTAGTAATTATGGGGTATTGTGTGTAGATTGATGAGGATTTTTATTTGTTTAATCAATTTTAGAATAAGGCTGTAACGGAACAAAATGTAGAAAAAGGGAAGGGGTCTGAATACTTTCCGAATGCACTGTATGTGTAGTGTACTATTGAAATCTAAACATAATAGGAAATCTAAACATCACTTTCTTAATTTGAGCTTGTATAGAGCAATTTATAATGAACCGAGGGCACATCTTCCATATGTCCTACTAATTCAAACACTATGCTGTCACTGTCACTTGTCCACTCAAGCTTAATATTGTTGTCATCTATCGCCCACCAGGTGCACTTGGAGAGTTCCTCAATGAGCTTGACAGCTTGATAAGCTCATTTCCTGATGGCTGCTCTTACCAGGTGACGTGGAGAAGATTGGTGTCTGCACCACGTGCTCTCACTACTGGTGTCCCCTAAGGCTCGGTTCTAGGCCCTCTCCTCTTCTCTCTATACACCAAGTCACTCAGCTCCGTCATATCCTCACATGTTCTCTCCTATCATTGCTATGCGGAAGACGCTCAACTACTTTTCTCCTTCCCCACCTTCTGTCACCCAGGTGGCGAAACGCATCTCTGCGTGCCTGGCAGACATCTCAACTTGGATGTCGGCCCACCACCTCAAGCTCAACCTCAACAAGACGGGGCTGCTCTTCCTCCAGGGAAAGGCCTGCCCGCTCCATGACCTCTCCACCACGGTTGACAACTCCACAGTGTCCCCTTCCCAGAGTGCAAAGAACCTTGTCGTGACCCTGGACAACACCCTGTTGTTCTCCGCAAAGATGGTTCAGGCTCTCTCATAGTTCATGCAGGTTCATGCTCTACAACATCCGTAGAGTACGACCTTACCTCACACAGGATTCGGCGCAGGTCCTAATCCAGGCACTTGTCATCTCCCGTCTGGACTACTGCAACTCGCTGTTGGCAGGGCTCCCTACTTGTGCCATCAAACCCCTGCAACTTCTCATGCAACTAACCCTAACCTTCCCGAGTTCTCGCATGTCACCCTGCTCCTCCGAACACTCCACTGGCTTCCAGTTGAAGGTCGCATCCACCGCAAGACCATGGTGCTTGCCTACGGAGCTGCAAGGGGAACTGCCCCTCCCTACCTTCAGGCTATGTTCAAACCCTACACCCCAACCTGAGTACTCCGTTCTGCCACCCCCTGAGGCTAGGACAGCGGAGTCCTTGCCCATTTTCCAAAAATGTCTGAAACCCTACCTCTTCAAAGAGTATCTTAAGTAATCCCACATCCTTTCGTGAACTAACACTCACACTTGACTTTTTCCCTCCTTACTAGCACTGACTTTGCTGATAGCTACTTTATTGAGGAAAAATGTACTTACTATAACTGAGATATGTGGTTTGTCCACCTAGCTATCTTAGAGATGCACTATGCAGAAATCGCTCAGCCCAAACATTATAATAGTTAGCCTAATTTCAGTTTATGTGACAAAACAAGCAAGTATAGTGTAGAGAATCATTGTACCATCTAAACCGCTGTGAAATATATTTTCCATAACCAAAAATATTGTATTTTCAGCTGTTTGAAGCTGGTGTACAAAACCCAAAGTAAAAGACGAAAAATCTGAACTTAAGCACAAAAACAACAAAAAAGGGGGATACCTAGTCAGTTGTACAACTGAATGCATTCAACAGAAATGTGTCTTCCGCATTTAACCCAACCCCTCTGAATCAGAGAGGTGCGGGGGGCTGCCTTAATCGACATCCACGTCATCGGCGCCCGGGGAACAGTGGGTTAACTGCCCTGCTCAGGGGCAGAACGACAGATGTTTACCTTGGGGATTCGATCCAGCTACCTTTCAGTGACTGGCCCAAAGCTCCTAGCCGCCAGGCTACCTGCCGCCCCTAGAACAGATCTACCACTTTTCAATTAGAATGACTGATCAATAACTCACATTTCTATGTGAAGTTTGTCAGGTAGCCCAAAAAGTTACATATTGCATCTTTAAGATGAATGCACTAACTGTATGTCGCTCTAGATAAGATGAATCAACTGTAAATGTAGGAGATGTGACAGAGACAGCATACAGGGGAGGTGAACCCTGACCCTGTGCCCACATCCTGAACCTCTCCAAGGACCCCCTCTGGTAGAGGAATTAAACATTAATGCTTTTTAGGATTCATTGCATCTACCCCCAGCTGCCAAGGCCTCTGTGATAACGATAGCACTTCCTTCACGATTCCCCTGGAGAGAGCTTTCCTTCCCTGATTTCGCCTTCTTTTTGAGGATCAATCATATCCTGTGTCATCACAGGTGAATTTTTCTCTGGCTGTGAATAATTATTTTGCTTTGTTGTTGACATTATATTAGCTGGTAGGGTTGCACTAGGCATGTCAAATGTGGAAATTGCCAGTAAATGTTTTATTCGGTTTTCAGGTTCTTTGCAGATGGTCTTCGATGCTTTTTAGATGCATTTTTTTATATCCACATTTGAAAATGTATTAATTTCTGCTCTGTTAATATTGCCATGTCTATTTACCTTTAGGGGAAGGAGACTGAGGAAGAAGATGATGTGGCAGTCAACATGGAAAAAGATCGATTTATGGATGAGTTCTTTGTACAGGTAAGCCCCAGATGTGTGTGTGTGTGTGTGTGTGTGTGTGTGTGTGTGTGTGTGTGTGTGCTATGTGAGCGACGGGTGCTCTGTGTATGTACACCACTGAGATGTACACAAACTCTATACACAGGCACTGCACAGGACAACTAAATTCTGAGGTCCATTAAATTATTCAAAACATTGTAGTCCCGTGTAGCTCAGTTGGTAGAGCATGGCGCTTGCAACGCCAGGGTTGTGGGTTCGATTCCCACGGGGGACCAGTTGGGGGAAAAACATGTATGCACTCACTAACTGTAAGTCGCTCTGGAAAAGAGCTTCTACTAAATGACTATAATGTAAATGTTTAACAAAGTGCCTTTTATATCTCTACTGAAATACTTGTAATTTAGCTAAGAGGTCCCATTAGCGTCATCTAAAGTTGCAAACAAGAAACCTGTATTTGAGGTTAAATAACAATGTGCTGAAGCAACGTTTGGCTTGCCTTCCTCTCCCACCATTTGCATCTTACTCTTTTACACAGTTTTAATCCTAACACAGACAGCAGCCGACTGTTGGCCAGATCTGGTTTGTTGGTGCAACATATATGGCTTAGTGCTGGCACAGAAACTTGTCATATGGTCCAGATTTGGTACGAATGTGGGATATGCGCACTAGGGGAGAGTTGGCACTTTGCTTATGGGCAGGTCTAGCTTTTTCACAGCGAACATCTGGTTAATGTATGGCAACCAGACCTGGCCTACTTGTGGACCATAATTTCATGTGGTAACTGGGCCAAAAGGTAAGTGGTTATCTTCTAGATGTGGACCATATTTGGGCCAGAAAACAAAACCCACCAGCAGCATTTACACAAATATAGGCTAGCTCCTTTAGCATTGGTTTCCGTGGACAGGAGAAGGCCACGGAAAGTTCAGCCTACGGCAGCACAATTAATCAAATTCACATCGAAATCGCAGAATTTACATGTGCAATATCCATATCGCAAGAGATCCATATCGCATGCAATATTTTGAAACACATCTCAGCCGTGTAACATCCGTTTTTATAGTTTTCTCCTCTTGTGGCTGCTTCCCACACACACCAAGCCACGCCCCCTGTCACTCAAGCAGCGCAGTTCCTCCTCCTCACTGTTAGATTCAATATAAATTTGCATGCTGTTCTGTTGGGTCATATGCAGTCAACCGATTGTTCCAAACAAGAATGATGCTGCTTTCCAGTTTGCGTCTTAATATACACTGTAAGTCATTATATTTCTATGATTCCAACACTTCACTCAAGTGTTTTGATCTATATCGCGCTTCAAATAACAATATTTGGTAAAGAAATCGCTATTCGATTTTTTTTGCCCATATCGTGCAGCCCTAGTTCAGTAAGTGGTGCTGACTCTGAGTTGAGGATGTCTACTGCAATTCATCTGGAGTTGATCCAGTTTCTAACACTAGCTACTTCCATAATAGAACAGGCCCTTGATATGCGTGAAGCAGCGGGGTTGCCCTGTTCGTGCTCAGCTTTTGAGCTCTGAAGTCAATAGATCTCACTGTAGGCAATGTCTTGCGCTCCCAATTACAGATGTTCAAGCCCCTGCGTCATTACTTCAGACACGTCTTCCGCGAGCTGCCCTCTCCCACAGTAAGGGATCAGTCATCAAAGAGCCCATGCCGTGTCTAGATACACATCAAAATTAAGCCATCAAACATACACTACCGTTCAAAAGTTTGGGGTCACTTAGAAATGTCCTTGTTTTCGAAAGAAAATCACATTAAATAGTACCCGCAAAACACCAGTTTCAACGTCAACAGGATGCTGACCTAGGCAGAGTTGCAAAGAAAAGATTAAGATGGGCAGTCTGAGATATGGCTTTTTCTTTGCAACTCTGCCTAGAAGGTCAGCATCCCGTAGTCGCGTCTTCACTGTTGACGTTGAGACTGGTGTTTTGCGGGTACTATTTAATGAAGCTGCCAGTTGAGGAACTGTGAGGCACTTGTTTCTCAAACTAGACACTCTAATGTATTTGTCCTCTTGCTCAGTTGTGCACCGGGGCCTCCCACTCCTCTTTCTATTCTGGTTAGAGCCAGTTTGCGCTGTTCTGTGAAGGGAGTAGTACACAGCGTTGTACGAGATCTTCAGTTTCTTGGCAATTTCTCGCATGGAATAGCCTTCATTTCTCAGCACAAGAATAGACTGATGAGTTTCAGAAGAAAGTTCTTTGTTTCTGGACATTTTGAGCCTGTAATCGAACCCACAATTGCTGATGCTCCAGATACTCAACTATTCCCAAGATGGCCAGTTTTATTGCTTCTTTAATCAGCACAACAGTTTTCAGCTGTGCTAACATAATTGCAAAAGGGTTTTCTAGTGATCAATTTGCCTTTTAAAATGATAAACTTGGATTAGCAAACACAACGTGCCATTGGAACACAGGACTGATTGATGGTTGCTGATAATGGGCCTCTGTACGTCTATGTAGATATTCCATTAAAAATCTGCCGTTTCCAGCTACAATAGCCATTTACAACATTAACAATGTCTACACTGTATTTCTGATCAATTTGATGTTATTTTAATGGACAATAAAAGACCCCAAACTTTTGAACGGTAGTGTATGCCTCTATGGTGCTATCTAAGGACCGACCATAGAGATGAGCTATCTGTGTTTGACATTAGCATGGTACATGCAGTACTGTACTGAACCTGCTGATTTCATTTATTTATCATCCGATCCCTTACCCTCCGACTGGCTTATTCAAACCTCCCCCTCACCTCTCCTATGATGCAACACTTCCTATATTCCCAAGACAATGCATTCTTAATCAACTTACCTGATCAAATAAAGGTGGATAAATAAATAAATAAATTGAATTTAGCTCTAAATACACCTTATTCCACAGAGACTGTGATGGTATAATAACTTAAATCCCCTCTGCTCTCGCACTCGTCTCTCTCTATGACTCATTGAAGTCTTCCTGGCATTGTCTCCCTCTACTTTAACAGCCGTTTTCCCATCAGGCTGCCCACATGCAGTGTCTGAGCTCTCGAACAGCACACTTAAATACTACACCCTGCTGAGCTGTAGAGTAGCACCATACTCAGCTGAGAATCTCCCTAGCTACCAGGCACTGTGCAGCGTCTGTAGTGGTGGAATATAAACATTGACGTAACCAACATCTCTGTCTCTCTCCTCCAGGAGTGATATTTAGACCAGCTCCCTATAGACACACTGCACGCTGATGACATCACTGAGCCTATAACAAAGTGTGGTGTGCTGTGATAGGGCTGATAGATAGAAGGGGAGTTGGAATGGAATGGGCCCAATACTGTTTGACGTATTTATGACTGTTATATTGGGCTAAGGGCTTCGCTGTATACTAAGCAGCATATCTACACAGAAGAGACTGCATGGCCTACATCAAGTGAATAGCTCTATGTTTGCTTGCCTGTTTTGATTAGGCAATTGGCCTCTAACATGCTAACAGATGTTTTTGTCTCCCCAAATCTGAGTGATGATATAACACATTTGTACAAACAGAAATCATATTAAGTATAGATGTTATGTTTTTTTTAATGGGCTTCTTTCTGGGTTCTACATCATTACCTGGTCTGCTTGTGGATGGCCTCCTCAAGTGGGCTTGTTGTATAATGTCTCCCTCTCTGTTGTACCAGGTGGAGGAGATCCGAGGCTTCATCGAGGAGCTCTCAGAGAAGGTGGAGGAGGTGAAGAGACAACACAGCGCCATCTTGGCCGCCCCCAATCCTGACGAAAGTAAGGCTCTCTTCTCTACTCTTCCTCCCTGGATGAAAGGATGAGCGATAGAACAAGGGAGAGGGAAAGGGTAGGTGGTAGGTCATGAAATGAGTTGGGAGAGATGTTTGTGAAATGGTATCACCTCTATCTGCCTCCTACACACACACATACTCACAAACACAGTCATCGGTAGTGCATGTCACCTCTGAACCTCACTCTTTCATTACAGCCTAGTTATAAATCAAGAGTTAATATCTGTTGAGCCCACATGCTACAATAGCAAGCCCAATGTTACTCTCAACCCGCAATGTATTCTTCTCACACCCCTACTGTTTTCTTATCAGTGATAGCAGCACAGGTAGTGTGTGAAAAGGAGAGGAGACTCTGAAACAATGGTTGTTCAACTCTTCAAACAAGTTCAGGAATTTAAGAATTTACTTGTTGAATTGAAGTGGAGAAAAGCCCATTATGTGAATGGACTGAATGGAGTTCAAATGCATTGACCCCAGCCCTGGCATGAGGACTTTGGTGTTGTTGATGTGGAAGGTCACTCACTCCCTGGAGAGACGTGTGTGACCCTCATCTCATCCTCGTTCACTGAACAATACAGGCCATGACCCCAAGAGGGGGTTTGAATTCACACCACACTTACTTTCAGTATGCAAGTTAGTGAGTCAGTGTGCCACATCTTCATTTTAATTAGTGTTTAAATATCCTTCTGTTTTATTTGGAAGTGATAATATAGTAATTTAATTGCATTGTATACAATAATACATGTAGTCATGCTTGGCTGCATTTGGCACCCCAAAAATGCTCCTATTTTTTATCAATCAAAAACTATTCAACATGGCCAATTAATTAAGAGATTTCTCTAATAAGCACTCATCTCCAATGCATTCTGATTGGCCAGACAGGTCTGGCCTTGCAGAGAGGTTCATTTAAGGCTTGAGAAGAACCACATGGCTTAAGACGCTGATGGAAAAAGAAACCCTCCATTTGCATCTGATTTATATTCATCGACAGATACAGACAAGTCATGTGAAATATATGAATATATTCGAATTATAGACTACTCCCGTGGGGCAATTTTCCCTTGGGTTGCATTTGGAGAGCGATGCAATGTTCCATCTCCCATTAAGTCTTATTAGATTAATATTGGTGTAATTACCAAAGCACTTTAGCTAGCATAGCGTAGGGAAGTGTCTGTGTGTTGAATTCACAGTGACACTCATGACATTTCACTGAAGTACAGAGAGAAATGCTTTAATTTGTTGATCTGTTTTGCTGTCATTAGAGGAGAAGTGGAGTAAAATAAATATATAACATTATTTTTTTGAGGGGAAACAATCTCAATAAAAACTAATCGAAACTGTAGAAATGATAATGGACCTACATTTATAGTTTCTTCACCTGACCAGCTTGCTAACAGTAATCAAAAAAAATTCTAGACAGTCAGGGAGCATCGAAAATTCCAAAAGTGATGGATAGCGGACTATGTTTTTCTAATTTTCACAGAGAGGAAATGCAACCAATTTTAAGTGTGGCCCGTGGGGCAAAATGAGTTTGACACCCCTGCCCTGATCGATAGGGCAGTTACTACCCTAGCGCTACACCTAGAGAGAAGCATGGGACCTGTTATTTGATGAAATGACGATTTAGGCGCGATTTCTTCCAACCTATTGTCTCATCATGTCATTGGATGTATCTAAGCCTTAACACGTCTATGTGCTCCGAGGTCCCTGTCAAAGTAGAAGAAGAACCCTGCATCATTAATGCAGGTTAGAGAAGACCTTTGCCCCCATTAATGTGCTGCCGACAGTGACACACACAAGCTCGTCATCATCTGCAACAGATGAACTTGACCTCCGTGTTTTGTCACACACTCAGCCTACCCTCGTTGTCAGGGTCACAGCAGGCAGAAATGAGTTGTCAGTGCTGGGGCTGGAACAACACTGCTGCTGCATTCTGATGTATGATTAGCGAGAAGAGCCAGGGTTAGGGTTAATGTTCCTCACACATACCATAACAGAGACTGGCTGTCTTACCCACTTGTTTTGACTGTTGAGACCTAGCCCAAAACCGTATGTGGGGCTTAGAAGTAGGGTGAAATGACCATATCTCTGTGTGGGTGGTGTGGTCTGTGCAGCCCACTGAGAAGATGACTGATGCTGGGAGCTGGCTGATGTGGGACAGGAACTAGGTCATCACCACCAAAGCATCCCTGATCTTCCATTTGATGTATTCTTTTGATTTATTTAGGAATCTTTTACCCCTCTCGGGAAGATGTTTCAGTAGGTATTAAAGCTTTTCAGCATCTGGTGATATGGCTGGGGGTCTTTTGATGTTATTTTCTTCTTTGCTGGAAGAATCAGAAACAAACTCACATTCAAATGTGTTTTTTTAAAACTTTCTATCAACAGAAACTAAGGCAGAGCTGGAGCAGCTGATGACAGACATAAAGAAGTTTGCAAACAAAGTGCGCTCCAAGTTAAAAAGTATGTCGCAAACACACAACCATTGGTCTCTGTCTTTCACTCCCCTCTCGATGCTAAATCATGTGATTACCTGAACATTCTACCTTTACTGTGACACAAGCTTTGGCCAGATTATCTTAAAAAACTAATCCAGGGCCTTGTTTCCCAGTTGTAATGTAACTTTTGCATTATGATGATTGTACCAGATGCATCGTTATTTACGAGCCAACTTTTAAAGTGTTACCCAAACAAGCATGTAGAGAGAACGTTAATTCGCTAAGTGCGTCGTTAGACCATGTGTCGATACTGATAGGATCGAAAGAAAAGCAGCGCTGCCCTCGGATCAGCTTTCTCCATTCAAATCTTACCTTAATATTATAATTATTCCACAATGCTGACAGTGGATCCGCTCCTAGAGAGTTACTGTATTACCACATAGGGCTGTAAATAGGCTATTGAGGCGGCTTATTATGCTTACCCAATAATAATGCACCAAATCACAGATTGAGCACATGTACATTTTAGTCACACATCATGAAACACATTCAGGGAAAAATTACAGACAGTAGCCTGTTCGCAAAATATAATATAATTGATAATATGATTGAAATAGCCTATATAGGACCATGTAGCCTATGTATCTTTTAACCCATAAGAGTCCAAGCCCTGTCTAAGCCGGGTGGGTGAGGGGTGGGGGTGGGATTTCTACTTAGCTATATGGAATTGTTTTAAGAAGGTCATACCAAGGATCATTTTGCCATTTGATTTAGAATTTTAAGACAACTATAAATATAAATATTGATGAAAAATACTTTTTGGCCTTACTGCTATTAGCCCATACAAACGCATGGAATAACAGATAGTCCCCCCAAAAAATATAAAGGAAGTTTGTTCTGAAGTGTCCGGAAGAGAAAGATCAGGAAACATGTATTTAACCCCTTATTTTTTTACCCCGATCTGACCACCCGTTAGCCTATCCATTGTTACATAATGAAAGGTGGGAAAACAAAACTACTGTTTGTTTCCCTGGTTGAGTTGATGAGCTGATTTGGGCCATCAGTTGATTGACAGATGTAGGCCTACTGTAGAACGATAAACTTTCTTCCAGTGAGGATGCTCGTCCACGTTTTATAGTTAGGCTATGTATAATTTGTCAATATACGGTATACTGAACAAAAATATAAATGCAACATGCAAAGTGTTGGTCCCATGTTTCTTGAGCTGAAATAAAAGGTCCCAGAAATGTTCCATACGCACAAAAAGCGTATTTCTCTCACATTTTGTGCCCGCATTTGTTTTCATCCCTGTTAGCGAGCATTTCCCCTTTGCCAAGATAATCCGTCCATCTGACAGGTGTGGCATATCAAGAAGCTGATTAAACAGCATGACCATTACACAGGTGCACCTTGTGCTGGGGATAATAACAGGCCAGTCTAAAATGTGCAGTTTTGTCACACAACACAATGCCACAGATGTCTCATGTTTTGAGGGAGCATGCAATTGGCATGCTGACTGCAGGAATGTCCACCAGAGCTGTTGCCAGAGAATTGTATGTTAATTTCTCTACCTCCAACGTCGTTTTAGAGAATTTGGCAGTACGTCCAACTGGCCTCACAACCTCAAACCACGTGTAACCACGCCAGCCCAGGACCTCCACATCCGGCTTCTTCACCTGCGGGATCGTCTGAGACCAGCCACCCGGACACATGATGAAACTGAGGAGTATTTCTCTATAATAAAGCCCTTTTGTGGGGAAAAAACGAATATGATTGGCTGGGCCTGGCTCCCCAGTGGGTGGTGCTGGCTCCTAAGTGGGTGGGCCTATGCCCTCCCATGGCTGCGCCCCTGCCCAGTCATGTGAAATCGATATATTAGGGCCTAATGAATTTATTTCAATTGACTGATTTCCTTATATGAACTGTAACTCAGTAAAATCGTTGAAATTGTGCTCCAGGTAAGTAGTTAAATGTAACAAAAGGTTCTTGCACTTCAAAATAGTTCCAACAAAGTTCTTCTCAGAAGAGGTATTTACAGAGGTAGAGTAACAAACAGGGCAAAACAAAATAACTCCACGAGGGCAGAAAAAACAACTAAAGATACTTAGAAAGCTTCCCTTGGAAAGACACGGTGGACAAAGCAGGAGACACATAGCCAGACTCAAAACCAAGTGAGGAACAGGAAGAAACACAGCTAAAACTACTCAGGTGAAACAAGGCCAGTGGACCTGGATCAGCTAATAAGGACACCGAGGAAGAACTAGGCAGAGGGGAACACAGATGACCTCTAGAGGCCGGAGACAAACAGGAGGCAGGAAGCTGACAGTTGCATGTTGCATTTATATTTTTGTTCAGTATAGTTCTGGTCTTTGGTGTGGATTGAAAGCCTGTATTGTGTGGCTTTAATATTGTATTTCTCAAAGCTGTCAAGATGTTTATGTATTTGAGCCTATCCAAAGACGATTTTGTTGAGCTCAGACAATTTTCTTTGATGTGTAAATTATCAGACTATTCGTTTTACTTCTTGAAAACATTGAAATAAACGCAATGAACTTGTGGGCCTAATGTAGGCAAAGGCTGGTCACTATTTCGCCCAGCACTGGGCGCGAACTTACGAGGCTCGGAGCACACTGCTCAGACCAGTGCACAACGGCAGTTCATATTCACAATGCTCTAGCATGCACTAAGAATACTATGAATACTGATGATACATAGGCGTGTCGTTTTTAATTCTTTTGTTTTAAGCCTCCCCAAACCATAGCCCTAACCTTAACCACTCTGAACTAATGCCTAAACTCTTAACCTTTAAATTGTTTCTGTTTTAACCTTGTAACCACGCGGAATTAAGGCCCAACTCGGTGGAAAATCTGTCTCCCTCCAGCAAGTGGCGTGTTTTCGTTGTTTTGCCCACCAAGCAAGGAGTTTTTGTATGGAGGTCAATGAGTGTCGAATTTGGTCAACAAAAAAAAGGAATGGCTAAATTGCTATGTGAGGTTTATTTGATCAAGTATACGTTTCGTGATGCTTAAGTTGTTACGAGTGTACTGATATAAGTAGGACGTGGCATCCCGGCAACTTTGAGAAAAAACACTTTATATTTTAGTTGTGTCGAGATGGCTGTGCATATTCATGGCATGAAGCTAGTAGCATAGCATCTCCCTCCTTTGAATACAGACGGTTGACGTCAACAACCCTCATCGAATATTCAAAAAAAGATTACAATAATGAGATGTATCCACCAATCCAAAGAAACGATAGGCAGGAGCTAGACAGCCCGTCATGCCGCTTTGTGGACAACGACTCCCATTATTAGGGCGTGAGACGTATCTTGTCAGTATATCCATAATCTTTGACGTTCATCCATGAGTCAAAGGGCAGTGGGCCGGATTCGAACCCATGCCGACTCTGGCATATGTGTGCCAGGGTCAGTGGCTGTAACTCCTGGACCACACAGGTATTGATTCTGCCTATTGCTTGCCTTCAACATATAATAAAACAATTGATCTAAAACAACTGATTTTCCCTAAAGAAAAATAAGTCTACCCCCTACAAATATGTAAATGTATTATAATCCACATAAGAATTCACAAGAGACACGATGTAGCCTGCATAAAGTACAATGTGGGTACGGTACTGCATTGTATATACAAACACTGCTTCCAGCTGCGCCTTGGCGGCGATTCAACATATTTATTCAGACATTCAAATCATCCTGCTGCAAGATTATTATACTCCTGCGACGAAAGGGGTCAAATTAAGACGTAACATTTGCATTTTGGCTGCTCTACGGGACTCGTAAATGTGCAAAGGTTTTTAAGAGCCACGTTACTAACGAAGTCTCTGCGAAACACCTTGTCTACTAAAGATACATCGTAAGAAGGTTCTAACGATGATATTAACGCTCTGAGAAACGAGGCCCAGGTTCTTCATTAATTAGACAATCTGAATAAATGGTACTGGTAATGGTAGATTAATTCTTCTTCTCGCTCTCTGTTCCCTACAGGCATTGAACAGTCCATAGAGCATGAGGAGGCTTTAAGCAGGTCGTCTGCAGATCTGAGGATACGTAAGACACAGGTGGGTTATGCTATATATAGCAGGGACTTTCAAATCTGAGTCTGTCGTTTTCAGGATTGGAGTTGTCATCCCTGCTGTACTGTATGTGTAACTCTAGTCTAGTGAATGGTGGAAAACTCTTGATGGACAGTGTAACATCCTGCATCATTCCCTACCAGCATTCCACGTTGTCTCGGAAGTTTGTGGAGGTGATGTCAGAGTATAATGCCACGCAGTCGGACTACCGGGAACGCTGCAAGGGCCGCATCCAAAGACAACTGGAGATTAGTGAGTATGCTCTGTGTGTGTGTGTGTGTGTGTGTGTGTTCCTGATATTCGCTTATCAGGAATTGTGATACGGTATTGTGCATGTTGGGCATGATAGCTTTACAGAGTACATAGTTACACACCGCACGAATGGGTTGATTTTGTTTTGGTTTTATTTCCCCGTTCCCAATTTTGTTTGTCTATTTTTAACACTGTTTCCCCAAAGCATTTATTTTATGCATTCTTAATATTGGCTGGGATTCCTAATGTTTGTTTGAGGTGTAGGTGTGTATGCTAATTTATTAGCATATATTTATGTTGAATGCATCTGTTCACTTGCATAATTCAAGGACGCGTTTCATGAGTAATGGAAGGCAGGTGGATCATGTAAACTTTAGGGCTGTGTAGTCAACTTTGATCAGGACAACCCATTGGTGACACGCATGTGTGTGTGTTTTGCAAATGTGTGTGTGTTTGACAGGAGGTTGGTGGCACCTTAATTGGGGAGGACGGGCTCGTGGCAATGACTGGATTGGAATCAGTAGAATGGTATCAAATACATCAAACACATGGTTTGATGCCATCCCATTTGCTCTGTTTCAGCCATTATTTTGAGCCGTCCTCCCCTCAGCAGCCTCCACTGGTGTGTTTTGCATATGTAATGAGGGCTTTGAGAATCGCCTCATGTTTTAAGACGCTCTTTAAATTGTTTAATCTGTTAGAACCTTGTTGTTTCTGGAAGGAGTGTGTGTGTGTGTGTGTGTGTGTGTGTGTGTGTGTGTGTGTGTAACTGAGAAATCAAGCCAATGCTCGAGATATTGATCTGGTTAATTTAAAAAGGCATCATGGGAATAGCAGTAAACAAGGTGAGGAGGCCGACAATGTCATTCCAATCTTCTATTTTAATATCCTTTTAAAAATTAATTTATCCTCTCACTCATGCAGTTTAGACTGCGTTTAATAAACCTTGAAGCGATCATTGAAACAGTTTTCCGGTTTTCTCTGGAGGTGTGTGTGTTGCACTGTAATTTCAGCTCCAGATGACGGTAGTGAGGAGATAACACCCATAGGGGTTTATTGAGCAGAATATAATATAAACATTGAAGTCACTCAGGCTGGAAGCAAATGACGTGAGGCAGAATGGGGAAAGATTGACTCTGAAATGATTAGAGATGTAGAGACAAGCTCCTCTTGGGTTCTCCAACAAGCTTCACTATTGGAGAAGTGTGGGGATACCAAAATAGCCTCTTGTGGTTAGATGATTCTTCTCTCTTTTTCTTGGGCCTTGGTCCTACACCTAAAACTCTTACATTAGCATCATGGTGTAATGGCTTATGCTTTTTGACACTGTACATGAATGTGTATTGACATTTACAACTTCATATGAATCCAACTGTCAAAATGTGTTTGTTCATTTGTCTCAAGAAGTCATGCAATTGCTAGCCTGTGTTTCAAGCCTGCTCCTGGAAAAAATATGACATCATTTTAATTCAGTTTAATTGACCATCTCAAACAAGGAATATGTAGATAGGTATCAAAGGGACTCCCCCTCAAAACTTGAGGTTGATTAAACAGGCATGTGTGACAGCTTCTGTGACTACCCTGTCTAAATCCCCAGCCTTCCACAAGATGTGTGTGTTTGTGTGTGTGTGTGTCCCAGGTGAGCTGCAGGTGTGTTGCAGCCAGGAAGTGCTAGCAGCGCTGAGTCAATATTGAACCAGGCGGAGCAGCACACACAACAGAAGTCCTGCAGCTGAACCTCCACACATACACACACACACACTGCACAGTCATACACAGCCATAAGGCATTATACATAGCTATAGAGTGTTATACCCAGTCATAAAGCATTGTAGGCCTACACATCTCACAGGTCTCTTTCCAAACATTTAGAGAAACGTCCTAGTCAAATAATAATTAAATACTTTTAAGGAGCGTTATCAACAACCGGAAGACATCATGCCAAGCCATAGATTGTTGTACAGCCATAGAGTGTTTATACATAGGCTACAGTGTTATACACATTGTTGATACTCGCAAATTGACCTTTGCTCTATTCGCATCGTCACTACCACATTGTCTGCTCTCCAGTGTAATGTGGGGCAGTGTGGGAATCTGCCATTTACCTGTGAGTGGGAGGCTGACTAGGCTAGGGGATGAGATGAGGAGGTGGTGTTGATAGCCCTGGGTCCCCGCAGAGTGGAGAGAGAATGAGGGGGTGGAACAAGGGTTAGCCTTAGGGCTCACCTGGGAATAGAGGGGTGAACAGATCCATAGTGGAAGTGTGTGCACACACTCATTAACACATGTACACCTACAGTGGGGGAAAAAAGTATTTAGTCAGCCACCAATTGTGCAAGTTCTCCCACTTAAAAAGATGAGAGACGCCTGTAATTTTCATCATAGGTACACGTCAACTATGACAGACAAACTGAGAGAAAAAAATCCAGAAAATCACATTGTAGGATTTTTAATGAATTTATTTGCAAATTATGGTGGAAAATAAGTATTTGGTCACCTACAAACAAGCAAGATTTCTGGCTCTCACAGACCTGTAACTTCTTCTTTAAGAGGCTCCTCTGTCCTCCACTCGTTACCTGTATTAATGGCACCTGTTTGAACTTGTTATCAGTATAAAAGACACCTGTCCACAACCTCAAACAGTCACAATCCAAACTCCACTATGGCCAAGACCAAAGAGCAGTCAAAGGACACCAGAAACAAAATTGTAGACCTGCACCAGGCTGGGAAGACTGAATCTGCAATAGGTAAGCAGCTTGGTTTGAAGAAATCAACTGTGGGAGCAATTATTAGGAAATGGAAGACATACAAGACCACTGATAATCTCCCTCGATCTGGGGCTCCACGCAAGATCTCACCCCGTGGGGTCAAAATGATCACAAGAACGGTGAGCAAAAATCCCAGAACCACACGGGGGGACCTAGTGAATGACCTGCAGAGAGCTGGGACCAAAGTAACAAAGCCTACCATCAGTAACACACTACGCCGCCAGGGACTCAAATCCTGCAGTGCAAGACATGTCCCCCTGCTTAAGCCAGTACATGTCCAGGCCCGTCTGAAGTTTGCTAGAGTGCATTTGGATGATCCAGAAGAGGATTAGGAGAATGTCATATGGTCAGATGAAACCAAAATAGAACTTTTTGGTAAAAACTCAACTCGTCGTGTTTGGAGGACAAAGAATGCTGAGTTGCATCCAAAGAACACCATACCTACTGTGAAGCATGGGGGTGGAAACATCATGCTTTGGGGCTGTTTTTCTGCAAAGGGACCAGGACGACTGATCCGTGTAAAGGAAAGAATGAATGGGGCCATGTATCGTGAGATTTTGAGTGAAAACCTCCTTCCATCAGCAAGGGCATTGAAGATGAAACATGGCTGGGTCTTTCAGCATGACAATGATCCCAAACACACCGCCCGGGCAACGAAGGAGTGGCTTCGTAAGAAGCATTTCAAGGTCCTGGAGTGGCCTAGCCAGTCTCCAGATCTCAACCCCATAGAAAATCTTTGGAGGGAGTTGAAAGTCTGTGTTGCCCAGCGACAGCCCCAAAACATCACTGCTCTAGAGGAGATCTGCATGGAGGAATGGGCCAAAATACCAGCAACAGTGTGTGAAAACCTTGTGAGGACTTACAGAAAACGTTTGACCTGTGTCATTGCCAACAAGGTATATAACAAAGTATTGAGAAATTTCTTTTTATTGACCAAATACTTATTTTCCACCATAATTTGCAAATAAATTCATTAAAAATCGTACAATGTGATTTTCTGGATTTTTTTTTTCCCTCATTTTGTCCCGTCATAGTTGCACGTTATTGTTCATGTCAGAAGTACATGTCAATATGCATCCACTGCCATGTGTTTCAAGTCCTGCTCACTGCGAAAAAATATGACATCATTTTAATTCAGTTTAATTGACCATCTCAAACAAGGAATATGTAGATAGGTATCAAAGGGACTCCCCCTCAGAACTTGAGGTTGATTAAACAGGCATGTGTGACAGCTTCTGTGACTACCCTGTCTAAATCCCCAGCCTTCCACAAGATGTGTGTGTTTGTGTGTCCCAGGTGAGCTGCAGGTGTGTTGCAGCCAGGAAGTGCTAGCAGCGCTGAGTCAATATTGAACCAGGCGGAGCAGCACACACAACAGAAGTCCTGCAGCTGAACCTCCACACATACACACACACACACTGCACAGTCATACACAGCCATAAAGCATTATACATAGCTATAGAGTGTTATACCCAGTCATAAAGCATTGTAGGCCTACACATCTCACAGGTCTCTTTCCAAACATTTAGAGAAACGTCCTAGTCAAATAATAATTAAATACTTTTAAGGAGCGTTATCAACAACCGGAAGACATCATGCCAAGCCATAGATTGTTGTACAGCCATAGAGTGTTTATACATAGGCTACAGTGTTATACACATTGTTGATACTCGCAAATTGACCTTTGCTCTATTCGCATCGTCACTACCACATTGTCTGCTCTCCAGTGTAATGTGGGGCAGTGTGGGAATCTGCCATTTACCTGTGAGTGGGAGGCTGACTAGGCTAGGGATGAGATGAGGAGGTGGTGTTGATAGCCCTGGGTCCCCGCAGAGTGGAGAGAGAATGAGGGGTGGAACAAGGGTTAGCCTTAGGGTGTGTGTTTACATACGCACACACACACATATACACACGTGTCCTGATTGGGCGCTGGGTTGCCACGCCAGATGTTACTTTTGTCCTTGCCAATCACGAATGAGTCACTCATGACACTCACTCCTCCCAATGGCAATTAGTGAAAGGGCATACTCATTAATTTAGCTGTACCAAGAGGTTATGACATGCAGATTAATATGTTGAAAAATATATAATACTGTCACTACCTGCTACCTCTAACCAACCAAGGTTTATAAATTGACAAATGTGAGACGTGAGAGTTATTCAGCTTCTCTTGAAGGAGTGCCGCACACAGCCCTGAGCCCAAATAGGGAGAGGAAAGAGAGAGGGACTGTTATTGGGTATGGCAGTGGCTGAGGTTATTGGGTATGGCAGTGGCTGAGGTTATTGGGTATGGCAGTGGCTGAGGTTATTGGGTATGGCAGTGGCTGAGGTTATTGGGTATGGCAGTGGCTGAGGTTATTGGGTATGGCAGTGGCTGAGGTTATTGGGTATGGCAGTGGCTGAGGTTATTGGGTATGGCAGTGGCTGAGGTTATTGGGTATGGCAGTGGCTGAGGTTATTGGGTATGGCAGTGGCTGAGGTTATTGGGTATGGCAGTGGCTGAGGTTATTGGGTATGGCAGTGGCTGAGGTTATTGGGTATGGCAGTGGCTGAGGTTATTGGGTATGGCAGTGGCTGAGGTTATTGGGTATGGCAGTGGCTGAGGTTATTGGGTATGGCAGTGGCTGAGGTTATTGGGTATGGCAGTGGCTGAGGTTATTGGGTATGGCAGTGGCTGAGGTTATTGGGTATGGCAGTGGCTGAGGTTATTGGGTATGGCAGTGGCTGAGGTTATTGGGTATGGCAGTGGCTGAGGTTATTGGGTATGGCAGTGGCTGAGGTTATTGGGTATGGCAGTGGCTGAGGTTGGATGGATTCAGAAGTGGGAGGACAGAAGGACACTTGGAGGGAGGCAGAGGTCTTTTTTTAGGGTGTTATGTCTATATGTGTGTAAGTGTGTGTGTGTATGTGTCTTTGTACGCATGTGTGTGGCCATCACATGTTGTGGCCTTTTTGTCACAAGCTGCCATGCTAAAGCCTCACAGGGTCGGTCACTAAGGTTACAGACTTGAAATATCAATTTCCCCCTGGATGGAATAGTGGATTAGGCCCTCCTATTGCCAACTGGTGTCACAAGATAGCCCCAACACATCTCTGCTTGTTGCTAGCAGGCACTTTTCATTGGAAAGCTGTGGAAAGACAGGGAAGCAATGTTGCGTGTGCATGCTTTATTTCAAATAGTGATAGTGTTAACAATCTGTCTGTAATACAACCATGATGGAACTCTACAACATAGGTTTCTATGGATTGTTGTTTGGATGAATTCAATCACTAAGACACATTTAGTGAGTGAAACAAAAAAGCCCATACTGTATTAATCAAATATGGTCTGTGTAAGTCATTTGGGCGGCAGTAGCCTAGAGATTAGAGAGGTGGACCAGTTCAAGCCCCGGGCCGGACAACACAAAAATGGGAATGCAACTGAACTGGCAGCTAGAAGGCTGCTGGTCTCTGATCCCTAGAACCATCTCCAGTTGTTGCCCTTGAGCAAGGCACTTAGCTGCACAGAATTACTCTCCATCCAGGGGCACTGCACCGCTGCTGACCCTGTGCCTCTCAACGTGTGTGTGTGTGTATCTGGGGGTATTGGGAAAGGCAGAAGACCAATATCAGTTTTAACCAATGAACAATAAAGTTGTATTCTATTCTGTAAGGAATATATAGGGTGTCCAATCAAAAACGCATCTTTTGACCAATGGGTAAATATGTTAATTGTGTACATAATCCTCTAAGAAAACCAATGGTCCAAACCTCATGTTTCTATCATAATCCGTTCAAACTTTATTGGAGTTTTTACCCTTGTAGGATGGTCAAAATTAGGGCGACTAAATCAGTGGAGGCCAGAGAAAAAAATGTGTTAAAAAATCAGGAAAATAACATTGCGTCAGCTAGGCTGGATGATGTGCGAGAATTTATGCTACCTGACAAGCTTAATGTTAATTAGAAACTGGATGGGTCGAGCCCTGAATGCTGATTGGCTGAAAGCCGTGGTATTGCAGACCGTATACCACGGGTATGACAAAACATTTATTTTTACTGCTCTTACGTTGGTAACCAGTTTATAGTAACAATAAGGCTCCTCGTGGGTTTGTGATATATGGCCAATATACCACAGCTAAGGGCTGTGTCCAGGCCCTCTGCGTTGCATTGTGCTTAAGAACAGCCCTTAGCCGTGGTATATTGGCCATATACCACACCCCCTTGTGCTTTATTGCTTAATGATACACTACATAACCAAAAGTTTGTGGACACCCCTTCAAAGTAGTGGATTCGGCTATTTCAGCCACACTCGTTGCTGACAGGTGTCTAAAATCGAGCACACAGCCATGCAATCTCCATAGACAAGCATTGGCAGTAGAATGGCCCGTACTGAAGAGCTCAGTGACTTTCAACGTGGCATCGTCATAGGATGCCACCTTTCCAACAAGTCAGTTTGTCACATTTCTGCCCTGCTAGAGCTGCTCCTGTCAACTGTAAGTGCTGTAGTGGAAAAGTCTAGGAGCAACAACGGCTCAGCCGCGAAGTGGTAGGCGACACAAGCTCACAGAACGGAAATGCAGAGTGCTGAAGCGTGTAGCACGTAAAAATCGTCTGTCCTCGGTTGCAACACTCACTACTGAGTTCCAAACTGCCTCTGGAAGCAACATCAGCACAGGAACTGTTAGTCGAGAGCTTCATGAAATGCTTTTCCATGGCCGAGCAGCCGCACACAAGCCTCAGATTACCATGCGCAATGCCAAGCGTCGGCTGGAGTGGTGTAAAGTTTACCGCCATTGGACTCTGGAGCTTCACCATCTGGCAGTCCGACGGACTAATCTGGGTTTGGCGGATGCAAGGAGAACGCTACCTGCCCGAATGCATAGTGCCGACTGTAAAGTTTGGTGGAGGAGGAATAATGGTCTGGGGCTGTTTTTCATGGTTCGGTCTAGGCCCCTTAGTTCCAGTTAAGGGAAATTTTAACGCTACAGCATACAATGACATTCTAGACGATTCTGTGCTTCCAACTTTGTGGCAACAGTTTGGGGAAGGCTCTTTCCTGTTTCAGCATGACAATGCCCCCGTGCACAAAGCGAGGTCCGTACAGAAATGGTTTGTCGAAATTGATGTGGAAGAACTTGACTGGCCTGCACAGAGCCCTGACCTCAAACCCATCGAACACCTTTGTGATGAATTGGAACGCCGACTGCGAGCCAGTCCTAATCGCCCAACATCAGTGCCCGACCTCACTAATGCTCTTGTGGCTGAATGGAAGCAAGTCCCCGCAGCAATGTTCCAACAGTGGAAAGCCTTCCCAGAAGAGTGGAGGCTGTTATAGCAGCAAAGGGGGGACCAACTCCATATTAATGCCCATGATTTTGGAATGAGATGTTCGACGAGCAGGTGTCCACATACTTTTAGCCATGTAGTGTATGTTAGAAAAAGACCCCACTGAATGATTCAGAACATAAATAATCAAATTTGTCTTGGTAAAATGTATTTTATAACCTAAGGAAGTGAAACGTCATCACCAAAGCACTCTGGGCAGAGTGGGTGGACACCCTAGAATATATTGTATGCGATTATGAATTCATATATGCTTTTATGAATGCTTATAGCAAATGTTATAATGCATTATTATGGGTGTAATAGGAGGCACCATAAACTCATTACACCCAGTTGGTTCATAGAAACTATTATCCTTCTTTTCAGCCCCATCTTAGCTTTTTCAAACAGGAAATCTGTGAAATACTGCCTTTTAAAACAGACTGAATGTGTCTCCCATCAGGGGCTGGGTTAGGCAGAGATAGAAGCAGGCAGACAGGCAGATGAGAGACTAGTGTGTGATTAATCCTACGCTGATGCCTCTCTCTTTCTTTCTCTCTCCTATCTCTCTTTCTCTCTCTTTCTTTCTCTCGCTCTCTTTCTCTTTGCGCCTCGTCCTCCCAGACTAATTGCCTGAATGGGGTTATGGGCGCCCGCTCTCTGCCATCGTGATGAGTGATGCGTCGGTACACTCACTCACTCTCACACACACACACACACACACACACAAGGACAAGTACACACACACGTGTTCTTGGATATATAGTACACACATAGACATATACAAAGACATACAGTATACTTGTGATTGCACACACACAGAGCATCCCTGAGGATACTAATTTAGCCTGTCACAATGACATTTGGTCTGTCTTTATCAGTTATAGTTAGCCATTACCAGTTGGATCACGTTATGAGATTTATTGCTGTTTCAAAATGTATAGTCTTCTATTGTGCTGTATATACTCAATTGCTGTTGGTTACAGGTTGGTATTTGGAGACCAACTCCATGGATTGTCTTTGTCATTGTAGCTGGTAGGAACACAACTAATGAGGAACTGGAGAGCATGCTGGAGAGTGACAACCCTGCCATCTTCACATCAGGGGTGAGGGACCACAACATGCAAGTGTCTGATATAATCATACACAGTACAATCATCTAGAAGACAAGCTTTCTTTGTTGGCGAGGTGTAGCATACCAACTGAGTATGCCACACCTACAAGGGGGGGAACTTGTGTGTGGGTATGAGTGTGTGATGACACATGAACTGTGTCACTGTGTCTCTCTTAGATCATCATGGACTCCAACATCACCCAGCAGGCCATGAATGAGATTGAGACGAGACACACTGAGATCATCAAGCTGGAGAACAGCATCAGAGAACTTCACGACATGTTCATGGACATGGCCATGCTGGTGGAGAGCCAGGTAGGAGTCTATACACACTGACTGGCCAACACACAACAATGAAGACTACACACATACCAATTAGAAAACCCACAACAATGAAATCCCTCTCTTTCTCTTCCCTGCTCCTCCGTTCACCTTCTCTCTCTCTCTCTCTCTCTCTCTCTCTCTCTCTCTCTCTCTCTCTCTCTCTCTTCAGGGGGAGATGATAGACCGCATAGAGTACAATGTGGAGCACTCAGTGGACTATGTAGAGAGGGCCGTGTCTGACACCAAGAAGGCAGTAAAGTACCAGAGTAAAGCCAGGAGGGTAAGTCAAATACTAACTCTCAATGTGACCTGATGCAAGTGTTGTCGTTATATGTGACATGGTATGATGTTGATGTGCCGTTGCATGACGTTGATGTGACATTGCATGACGTGGCATGACGTTATTGTGACGTTGACGTGACATGGCATGATGTTGATGTGAGGTTAGTTGACGTGAGGTGGCTTGGTCAGTTGTGCATGTCTTTCCCAAAGTAAAAGATTCAGTGACATATAATTGACTCAGGCCCATAGGAGTCTCTCTCTCTCTCCCTTCAGTGGTTCAATGAGAAGATTGTCACACATATAGCATACATTGCGTTGTGCCAGTAACCAAAAGGTCGCTGGTTCTAATCTCGAGCCGACTAGGTGAAAAATCTGTCAATGTAAATTACATTTTAGATGTATAGTACACCCCCTTGTGTCTGAACAGACACAGTGCAGGATGGGATTGGACCCTGCTCACACAGAAGTGATGCTTGTACAGTTGTTGTCTGTGCAATGGGGAACAGTACCTGTCCCTTCATATTGGTCACACCGTCCTCTCCCAGCTCCTAACCAGACTAATCATTGGACCCACAAACACACTTTCAAAGCGCATATGTCACGTATTGACATCAATTGATCTCTGGAGACCTCTGTGGAAAAAGTGACTATTAATTTCATCTCCAGTAGTAAATAAATGTGCATCTAGTGTTATAGGTGGGTCAATTAAACAGTCACAAATAAAGGTTGCCAAACTGTTTACTTGCATTTACCCTCCACTACCCTCAACCCCTTTTTAACCCAGGCAAATCATGCATGACCTTATGTGACATAGACACATGGACTTCAATGAGACCATCTACCCTCAACACTGCTGCTGTGACAGAACAGCATGCATCTCCCCAAGCCTACCGCTATCTGCTGGGCTACATCTATTATTCAACTGTCTCTTCTACACACACTGTAGAACTTACCATTAGTCACAGATCTAGGATCATCTTAGTCTCTCTAACTCCTGACCATTGCTATCAGAGGGAAAATGTGAAACTGACGTAAGACCAGCGTCTATGCAGGGTAAACTTAATCAGACTCCTCCCTGAATGACAGGCTGTACAATATTGCCACCACTCAAGGTTGAGAGAAGTTGCAATTTAAACAGGCAATTAAAGAATGACTCTAATACAAAGCTCACATTTAGAGAATAAAACCCTATTCCAATACATTAACATACTTTAAAAATGCATCTGTTTGCCTAAAGCTGTGAAATGCTATGTTCTATGTAAGCATGCCCATGTTTGTTTTACCTGTTGCACATAACTGTGTTGTTGGCAATATGGTTAGTAGTAGTTCTGACAATAACATTTTGGTAACGCCATTTCCCCCTCTACTCTTTCATGCTGCCTGGAATCCTTGTTTTATTTCTATTGATATAATGCAATAATGGTCATGCAGAAGAAAATAATGATTATTATATGTTGTGTGGTGCTTGGTATTGTTATTGCCTCCAGTGTTGGTGGGAGTTTAGCATAGAAGACACATTACACACATAGACACACATGCACACACACAAATAAAAGATACACAGGGTACAGGGCAGGTGTATTCGTTATGCATGAGTGTCTCTTGTAAATAATATGTGGTTCTAAACGTCTTATTGATTGTTGGATGTTGAATGTTTTACAATGACATTTTCAATGTATTTGGGGTCGATTGTAACCGGGAGCGGGACATTTGTGATTTTGACAACAGTACTGTAACTCTTACATTCCAATTGAAAATAACTCTTTATTTTTTGTTTGTCCAAATAAATGACCTCTTTTGATGAGTGAAGTCAGCATTTTCTGATTGATTTGTCTGACCAATAATTCTGAACGATCTAGCTATTTATCTATAACCAGAAAATGACATTTCCTAAAGAAAATGTGTGTGCTTGCTTGTCTTGAAGTATTAATGGTTGCAAAATCGTCATAACCCTACCCTCTGATTGGTCCCTTCATGATAACATCATCATAACCCTGTTCTCAGATTGGTCCCTTCATAATAACATTGTCATAACCGTGCTCTCTGATTGGTCCCTTCATGATGACATCATCATAACTGCTCTCTGATTGGTCCCTTCATAATGACATTGTCATAACCCTCCTTTCTGATTGGGCCCTTCCTAATTACATCGTTATAACCCTGCTTTCTGATTGGTCCCTTCGTAATGACAATCATCAAAATCCTGCTCTCTGATTGGTCCCTTTGTAATGACATCGTCATAACCAAGTTTTCATGAATTTGATGATATAATCTTGAATCCCATTCAAAAACAGTATGGGACATGATCCAGGAAGTAGGCTGGATTTCATAGTGTATTGAGTGTAGCGCATTATATACAGTGGGGAAAAAAAGTATTTAGTCAGCCACCAATTGTGCAAGTTCTCCCACTTAAAAAGATGAGAGAGGCCTGTAATTTTCATCATAGGTACACGTCAACTATGACAGACAAAATGAGGAAAAAAAATTCAGAAAATCACATTGTAGGATTTTTAATGAATTTATTAGCAAATTATGGTGGAAAATAAGTATTTGGTCAATAACAAAAGTTTCTCAATACTTTGTTATATACCCTTTGTTGGCAATGACACAGGTCAAACGTTTTCTGTAAGTCTTCACAAGGTTTTCACACACTGTTGCTGGTATTTTGGCCCATTCCTCCATGCAGATCTCCTCTAGAGCAGTGATGTTTTGGGGCTGTCGCTGGGCAACACGGACTTTCAACTCCCTCCAAATATTTTCTATGGGGTTGAGATCTGGAGACTGGCTAGGCCACTCCAGGACCTTGAAATGCTTCTTACGAAGCCACTCCTTCGTTGCCCGGGCGGTGTGTTTGGGATCATTGTCATGCTGAAAGACCCAGCCACATTTCATCTTCAATGCCCTTGCTGATGGAAGGAGGTTTTCACTCAAAATCTCACGATACATGGCCCCATTCATTCTTTCCTTTACACGGATCAGTCGTCCTGGTCCCTTTGCAAAAAAACAGCCCCAAAGCATGATGTTTCCACCCCCATGCTTCACAGTAGGTATGGTGATCTTTGGATGCAACTCAGCATTCTTTGTCCTCCAAACACGACGAGTTGAGTTTTTACCATCTGACCATATGACATTCTCCCAATCCTCTTCTGGATCATCCAAATGCACTCTAGCAAACTTCAGACGGGCCTGGACATGTACTGGCTTAAGCAGGGGGACACGTCTGGCACTGCAGGATTTGAGTCCCTGGCGGCGTAATGTGTTACTGATGGTAGGCTTTGTTACTTTGGTCCCAGCTCTCTGCAGGTCATTCACTAGGTCCCCCCGTGTGGTTCTGGGATTTTTGCTCACCGTTCTTGTGATCATTTTGACCCCATGGGGTGAGATCTTGCGTGGAGCCCCAGATCGAGGGAGATTATCAGTGGTCTTGTATGTCTTCCATTTCCTAATAATTGCTCCCACAGTTGATTTCTTCAAACCAAGCTGCTTACCTATTGCAGATTCAGTCTTCCCAGCCTGGTGCAGGTCTACAATTTTGTTTCTGGTGTCCTTTGACAGCTCTTTGGTCTTGGCCATAGTGGAGTTTGGAGTGTGACTGTTTGAGGTTGTGGACATGTGTCTTTTATACTGATAACAAGTTCAAACAGGTGCCATTAATACAGGTAACGAGTGGAGGACAGAGGAGCCTCTTAAAGAAGAAGTTACAGGTCTGTGAGAGCCAGAAATCTTGCTTGTTTGTAGGTGACCAAATACTTATTTTCCACCATAATTTGCAAATAAATTCATTAGAAATCCTACAATGTGATTTTCTGGATTTCTTTTCTTCTCAATTTGTCTGTCATAGTTGACGTGTACCTATGATGAAAATGACGGGCCTCTCTCATCTTTTTAAGTGGGAGAACTTGCACAATTGGTGGCTGACTAAATACTTTTTTTCCCCACTGTATATAGACACCTGGCTGTGTCATTATGCTATTACTCACCATCTCCTCTCCCAGCAGCCATGAGATCTGTGTGAATGACTCAGTGTGACCTGTTTGTCCCTTCCTTCTGTAGCACACTGGATATGTTCCTACTGTCTCTTGTGCTCAGCTAGTTTTTACACATCAATCTACACACAGTACCCCATAATGACGAAGCGAAAACACGTTTTTATAAATTTTGGCAAATTCATTACATATAAAAAACAAAAATACCTTATTACATAAGTATTCAGACCCTTTGCTATGAGGCTCGAAATTGAGCTCAGGTGTATCCTGTTTCCATTGATCATCCTTGAGCTGTTTCAACAACTTGATTGGAGTCCACCCGTGGTAGATTCAATTGATTGGACATTATTTATTTTTTGTAATAGTTTATTTTCATTTAACCTTTATTTAACTAGGCAAGTCAGATAAGAACAAATTCTTATTTACAATGACAGCCTACACTGGCCAAACCCGGACGACGCTGGGCCAATTGTGCGCCACCCTATTGGACTCCCAATCACGGCCGGTTGTGGTACAGCCTGGAATCGAACCAGGGTGTCTGTAGTAACGCCTCAAGCACTGAGATGCAGTGCCTTAGACTGCTGTGCCACTCAGGATTTGGAAAGGCACACATCTGTCTATATAAGGTCCCACAGTTGACAGTGCATGTCAGAGCAAAAACCAAGTCATGAGGTCAAAGGAATTGTCCGTTGATCCCCGAGACAGGATTGTGTCGAGGCACAGATCTGGGGAAGGGTACCAAAAAATGTCTGCAGCATTGAAGGTCCCCAAGGACACAGTGGCCTCCATCATTCTTAAATGGAAGAAGTTTGAAACCATCAAGACTCTTCCTAGAACTGGCCGCCAGGCCAAACTGAGCAATCGGGAGAGAAGGGCCTTGGTCAGGGAGGTGACCAAGATCCTGATGGTCACTCTGACAGAGCTCCAGAGTTCCTCTGTGGAGATGGGAGAAACTTCCAGAAGGACAACCATCTCTGCAGCACTCCACCAATCAGGCCTTTATGGTAGAGTG